TGTATATGTATAATTTTTTCAAAGATATTGTGAAATATATGCACACATAAGTCAGCTAAAGAAATTATAATATTCTTTGTAATATTGAGCCCTATAACAAGTGTCTTACATTTCAATAATTATAACTGAAGTGCACCTATTACAGTAAAGACCGAGCCAGTAACACTTTTTCTGTCTCAGATTTGTAAGTTTACCTTCCTCTTTTTCTTGTGCTTTTTATGTTGCTGGCCAATCATTGGATTCCGATTAGCCTGCGTGTCGTGATCTGTCATATGACAAGATTTGGAGGAGTATTTTATAGAAAGGGAGTTGTTCTCAATGTCTTGTTCAGACTGACTGACCAAATTGACAGGTTTGGTAATGGAACAGTTTGCAAACTCTGTATTCTTGAGCAGAGTATTTTCTAACGCAGTTATCAGAGCCTGAGACGCTAGAGAAGACTGCATTCCAGATACATTATTATCTGACCGTTTAAAGGAATCGGTTATGGGAACGGCAATTTATCGAATCGCTATCGTTTCGTTCATATGACAATGAATATAATGCTACGGTCAAAATATGCAAAATTGCCGTTCCAATAAATTATCCAACAGTCTTGGAATCTTGAAACACAGTAATTAAATTGCTAGTACATAATTGAAATGGGCTTTAATATTTTTTACATAATGAGACAAAATTGTTTTTATTGATATACTACAATTAACACCTTTCAAACATCTGTAACCAAGTCTTTGTCACATATACTACGATTTCATTGTACAACTGTATTCCAAGATTTTCAGTAATTATTGGCATAGCAGTGTTTCTTTCATCACTATTCATATACAGGGTGTTATGTAATACCCGCCTCACCTCTTATTTACGGATAGAGCGGATTAGACTGAGTTGAAAAGTCCTTTACCGCTTTGCAATTTTCGCAATAGTTAACGAGCTATTAATTGTTAAAAATCGCTGCCTTAGCCCGGCCTACCGCCCAATTCAAGCTCGTGGTGAGATGCGGCCGTCCCGCGATCACCGTTACTAGGCACGTGAGAAATTGTTTATGACACACGGCGAGGGCTACGTATAATAAACAACTCCCCGCTCCTAGCAACGCTGATTGCGGGACGGCCGCATCTTGCAGGACGGCTCGAATTGGGCGGTAGGCCGGGCTAAGAAAGCGATTTTTAACAATTAATAACTCGTTAACTATATAGCGAAAATTGCAAGATAGTAGAGGACTTTTCGACTCTGTCTAGTCCGCTCTATTTGTAAATAAGAGGTGAGGCGGGTATTACATGACACCCTGTATACATATGTATTATGTATAATAATACATTATATATAACTTCACAATTATTTAGGAAGAAATTATTCAATTTAACAATCACTTTACCTAGTGTTATGTAGCATATGAAAGATATTAACTTTTTTTTATTGTGATATATAGATAATGTTGTAGAAATCAATAACTCAATATTATATAGAGAATAAAATTCTATATATAAATTGCAAAAATAATTTTTTAAATAAATTTAAGTTTATTAAAATTGATATAAAATTCAAGATATACATATAGAAAACTTATTTTTCAATTTGTTATTATCATATCTTTTTCCCTGTTCACACACTCACGTCACGAGAATTAAAATACATGTATCAAGACATAATTTATCGTACTTTTATAACGACAAGAGAATTATCAATTTTGTAACAACATCTATATATTCAACTGCTTGATTATTCAGTTAACATATACAAAAGAGCAGTAAATCACAATCAGGCGGTTATTCATTAGTAATTATTGGCAGATCTTTCATGATTAGTAAAGTATTATATCAGTGTTTTGCAGCATCGTATAATATAATGCTTTTATAATACAGAATTTTGTTATTATAAAGATAGCAAAAGCTATGCAATAACTCGAATAGAGAAGGCACATCGTTTATTAATCGTATATTAATAAGAGTTAAATTAACTCTTATTAATAAATACTAACCTCGGATTGAAGAGGCTCCGACGTGGGTGGACCGTTTAAGATAGACTGTTCCGAGCTGCTACATCCGCCGCAAATTTCGTTCTGGAATTAATAAAGCGACATGTTTTTATGTTTTTAAAAATGAGGCACCCTGCATATATCGCTACGAAAAGGGGCACTAAAAGAATTACCTTGAGTTGAGACACTTCTTGTTGAAGTTGTGTGACAAGGTTTTTTTCGTACACTAAACTCGTCTCACTAGTTTCAACAAGGGAACGCAATTTTGTAACTTCCGCATCCAATGTCGCCCTCTTATTGCATTCCACTTCTAATTCCTGCGACAATCGGGCCTTGTCCTGAAATAAGAACAGTAATAAAAAATAGGTTATATATTGAAAATTGTTACTAATACTTTAACAGCATTGGTATTCTTTATCTTGTACACGTACACTAATACACGATAATATTGCTACTATAATTACTAAGAAATGTAGTTATTAGTCAATAATCATCAATAGTAAAATCTCTCTTTACCTCTTGTAATTGTTCTAAAGTAACAAGCTCGTTGCTATCTCCACAGGTTGTGGCTCTCTGTGCGGCCTTAAGTAATAATCCAGTACGATTCTTTTCTGCACGCTCTTCCAATTCTCTCACCCTCTGTTTAAACTAGAAAAATAATTGTAGCGTGAGACGAAAAAGTATATATTTTAATTTTTCAGTTGAACCAAGAGTTGCTACACTGCTCTTATGTGCTAAAGATCCGAGTTCAAATCCAACTAAAAATTATCGGTTTTTTTTTCGATTGTCTACCTCTCGGGAGGAAGTGGCAACCCACCAAGAGTATTTTGCCATGAACAGTTGGAAAACTTTTGTTTACAAAGATTTTTATAATTCTTACCTCTTCACTTGAAATTAATTTGGCTTGCATATCAGTAAGTTCTACCCTAAGATTTGTCACTTCGTTCTCCTTTTGCCGAAGTTGCGATTGCCATCTTGTTTCCTCGGACTCAATATAACTCTGTAGTTTATTAAGCATACCTTCCTAAAAAAAAGGGAAACAAAAGGAAGAAGTAAATAAGCAATTTTTGTAATGGAGCATTATCAAATTTAACGAAATACTCACCGTATCATAGATAATCTGTTTGTAATGCGAAACCATGCCTTGCAGATTTTTGTTCTGTCTCTCCAAATCTGGATTTGTCTGGTCTGTATTTTTCTGTTTTAATTCGTTTAGAATAATATATATTTTATCTTCGAACGATTTGAGCCATTGTTCATGTGTTTTCTCGGACACTTTAATCTCAGGAAATATCCTCTGTAGAAGTGTCTTAGTTATTTCTTCTTGTTCTTCTTTAATTTTTTGTGTTTCCTCCTAATTAAATAAACAAACAATTTTATAAAAATATGATTTATTAGAAAATGTCGGATTTTCCAATATCAACAAGTAATAAGGTACTTGTACAGAACATTTATGTTTATATTAATATGCAATAATTACAATTAAAATGATTCAAGAGAAATAATAACGTAATTAAATCTCAGTGTATCACAATATATGCTGTTAGTTTCTACTATTTAACTAATAAAGTGATACATTGTTCTGAGAACAATCAAGTCGGTGAGATCCAAATTCAACCAATCCTCTCATATGTTCAGTTTTATAAGATGATTGGAAAACTAAAGATTATAAGTAAAGGAATGTAAGATAACAATAGTAGCTCGCTTCAGAAACGTATTGCAATAAGAGAAGTTAGTTAATAAAATTAATTGAGAATTATAGCAAAGAAAAAAGGAACTTACCTTAACGCCCTTCTCATCATTGGACTTGGCACGCAACTCAGCAGCAGAAAGAGCCTCCATCACTTTCCAATTCTTTGTGCGTAGCTCCTGTGGTATAGAAAAATCATAGAAAAATATAGAAATACATCTATATTAATATACTAGACTGCAATTGATTTATAAACAAATAGTTAAAACATCAATTTGTATGAGAAGAGATATTTATATATTATGAAAGATATATTAGTATTATACGAGAAAATTAGATTCGAACAAATATATAAAATCACATAGAACCAAAAATACTTTTGATCACTACGCAAAGAACTTACATTATTTTTAGACTTCTGAACCTCCAAAGCTTCTTCCAATTGCCTAATAAAACGTTGATGTTTGTCTGCATCACTTTCTAATACATGTAACCGTTCATCTATCTTATTAAACTCCTTTTCCTTGTGCGTTAACTCAGCTGTTAATTTTTCTAGTAGAGCTCTTCCCTCTCTAAATTTTTAAAGAATAAATATATCACGGGATTAAGTCAAATAAAAAAATTTATATAGTTATACATTCATGTACATACGAATTGGCATGTTCGGTAGCAGTGGCTAATACTACATCCGTATGGATTTTCTTCTCCTGCTGCTGTTGAAGCTCCTTTTGTTTTTCTATAGCATTCGCAAACTACACGCACATAAAACATATTTTAAAAATCCTTAAAATCTATGTTTTCTATTTAATGTCTCATATAGATAATTTTTTATTTTATATAACATACAATCGTTAGAAAAGTTCGAAGACTAAGAATGACGAAATAATACCTCAGTGCGTAGTCTATCATTTTCTTCTTGTAGTTTCACAATTCGGAACTGCTCATCTCCCGCCTTTTTCTCGTTGTTCTGCAGTCTATTTATTTCAGCTTGCAAAGCTTTAATTTCGCTCGTCATCGTACTGGATTCCCTAACCTGACTACGAGCCATACTCAATTCCATCTGCGAATCCGTCAATTTTTCCTGTAGCGTGTATACCTCGTTTTGATGCTTGTTTGCATCGTTCTTTGCTTCTTTCAAACTACAATCCGTCCTCTCAAAATCGACCTTTAGCACATCCAATTTCTTTTGTACGGAATTCAATTCGGACTCCATACGTGCGACTTGCATGTTGGATTGCTGCAAATCGTTCTGTACGGCATAAAATTTGTCCTGCGACCTTTTTAGTTCGTCCTCCTTGTTACTCAACGCGTTTTTCAAGGTAATAATTTCGGCCGCTTCTGATTTAGCTTCATTCAGCTTGGCTGACAGTTCCGATTTTAATTTTAATAATTCCGTTTGGGCCTTGGTAAGTTCCACCTTTAAGGTAGGCGTTTCATTCGCTTCATTTTTGGCATGATTCAATTCAGCCTGCAGTGAGTTCACTTGCTTCTGCAGGTCCTGTTCATGCCGATGAGCGCTTTTCAATCTATGATCTAAATCGGTGTGTACACGATGAGATTCCTAGAAATTATCAAGAAAACACTTAGTAGAAAACGACTAATTTGAGGGCACCAACAAGAAAGGAATCATGGTTCTCACCTCAAGCTGCCTGGCAACGTCTTGTAGTCGATCGTTCGTTTCCTTGAAATGCTGCAACTGTCCTTCCGAGTGCATCAATTGACCTTGCATTATACCTAATTGTTGACGTAACATATCTATCTCCGCGGTGCTGCTCTCGCAGGTCGCCTGCAGTTCATTTTGCAGTTCCTGCATCTCCACGTGTTTCTGGGCCAATTGCGACTTCAATGCATTCTCATTTTCGCGCATCTGAGCGAACTGCACTTCCATTTGCTTTCGCTGTGCCACCAATTCCTGCTGCAAGTGGCCCTGAGTCTGTCCTTGATCTTCTTGTAATTTGTGAATAATAGTGGCATCCTCGTTCACTTTGGTCTGCAGTTGTTCGATCTGCCTAGCGAAACCTTGCTTCTCTGCAACATGACTTTCCAAAATATGTTGCATTCGAGTGTGCAACGTCTGAGTCTCCGTGATTTTAGCGTTCAGTGACTCCTCGAGTTGCCGAATATTCGCTAGCAGCCTAGATCTCTCGGTATTAAATTCAGCTCGCAATTCCTTGAGCTTGTTTTGAAAGGCCACGCTCGCCTCGTGCTCGTCGGCTAATGCTTTCTCTTTTTCCGCCAATTGTTTTTTTAACTTGATAACGGGGTCGGCGCGACCTTCCGTCCACTCGGAATGCTCTAACGGATTGTCCTGCTGTTTGTTCAAGAGTTGATTCGTGAGGATCTGTATTTCAGACCGACTCAGCTCTGCCTTCTGAATACAGAGCATCAATAATTCGACATTAACGGCATCCCCATCTGAAAAAAGTTTACGTCGAAGGTATTAAGCATTCAAATGAAATATTACACACTTTTAAATAAAAATACTCCATATTATTATATTATACAAACGGGCATACGATTGATAAGTTATTAAAATATCCATTAATATAGAAACACACGCACACACTCGCACACTTTTAATGTATAATTTTCATATTTGCCTCGACTAAAATAATCTTATGACAACTGTTTCAGAAATACAATGAGGATTTGAAATTATTGCTCGTATTGCAGGGCTACCGGTGCACGGACGTTGACCTTTTGTATATGTGTATGTATGTGTGCGTGATGGAGGGGGAAGTGATCCTACCTCAACCACATTCCGAAGCACTTCAAAGGAATTTGCTTGACGCTATGGTCAGATAGTTCACATAACTTACTCCGACTTTATTAGACCTTTTTAATTTATATTACGAAATAAAATAATTTATTTTCAGAACAAAAATCGTACTAATATATATCATATATTAACGATTAATTCTCTACAGCTAATAGCAATCTCATCATATAACGGTACTAAATTTTGTTAATTTATTTTAATACTGATATATATAACAGATACCGCCATTACATGCTAAAATTTACGGTATATTAAAATAATGGAGGAAAAAAATGAAATACATAAATTCGTGTATAAATATCATTGTTAAATCTCTCAGTGCAAGTTGTGAAGATAAAAACTGGCAGGTTACAGCAGTACAGAGGGAAATAAGGTCGTATTTCCAATCAATTAAATTGCAGGCTATAGAATGTCATAACAGGCTAGAAATATTGATTTGCTCTCTGTAAGAACCGCGTACAGATTTGCATCATCTCCGAGAGTTAGATTCATGCTTTTGTCATCGCACCGGATCGCGAACAAGTAAATTGTATCCTTTCGCAAATAACGGACTTACCGATCTGGGATAAAATGTCGTTCTTTTTTTTCGTCTTTTTGGGCTCCTTGTTTGGTAACTGTTGAACCACCTCCTTGACAACCTCCTTCACCTCCTTGACTGGCGTTTCCTTCTGCTGCTCCCTCACCTCCCTCATAGCTTCTTTATTACCGTAAGTATTAACGTCCTGCTTCTCGTCCTTCGCATTTTCATCCCTCTTCCTCACAGCGTCCTTGTTATTTTTCTTCGATTTGGTTGGAGTATCCTTTGGCGACTTGTTGACTCTCTCCACAGTCTCAATTTGGGTAATCTGCTGAAGAGTCTCCTGTTATACATGTGACACGTTACTGTACTATTACACTTAAGTGAGGCAAACTGAGGGATTTTTTTTCATAGAATATTAGTATCCACATTAATTAGCATAGTGCGTGTGTTATCATCTCAAACATTAATCTTTACATCTTGTACAACTGTTAATGTTTCGCAAATCAACATGATTCCTGTTAATCGAGAACGTTCGATGAATGATCAATAATATGTAGAGGAAAGTCTCCTATTATGAGATAGGATCCTAATATGCGATAGCGGGGTTTCTGTTGAATTAATAGGCATCATCTATTGGTGCCACCATGAATTTATTGCTCTTGGAATGAAATGTTTAGTGGAAAATTTATTGTTAGATCGTGTAGTCGTCGCAAAAAAGAGATTTGTGATTGAATTTGAACGTTGAAAACCTACTATCTCATATTAGACGTCTAGATAGGATCCTAATAGGCACCATCAGTTGATTCCACCATGAATTTATTGTCGAATTCTGTTTAGTGGAAAATTCATTGTTAGATTGTGTAATTGTTGCGAAAAAAGATTTGTGATTGAATTTGGATGTTGAAAACCTGCTATCTCATATTAGACTCCTATCTCATAACAGAGAACTCTCCTCTGTATATCTTTTCATGCACGCGTGGTTAATTTTACCCAAATGATAGGAATAAAAAAAAGTTAAGCAGTGAAGGAAACAAACAGCGTAAAATTGCAGACAGGGAACAATCTTAAAAACAATTTTTATCAATATTTTGAAAAGATATTACTTCGCTCGATACTTTCGTCCGTTAAATTAAAAAGAAATCACATAGACAAAGAATGCAATGTGCAAGGAAATATACAAGTGGTGCAAGATATTTTGCAAATGGTAAATCACTCACACTGTGACTCCGCACGAGTTCAAGGTCATCCTTTGGATGAATAAGATCGAAATGGTTGGCCTCCGCCAAGGGAGGTTGCGAGGGATTTAATTCAGTCACAATGACCGATGGCTCGTCTTTATTTACGAGGATTGGTTTTATCTTTTCAAGCTTCCCTCTCTTCTTATTGCCCTTATTACTCTCCTATGAGTTTGATGCAAACGTAAAAAATGTTCCCGTATTATTTCATCAGCGTGGCAAAAAATATCAAGCAGCATGCTCGAAAATCCATGTTACATTATATAACAATGGGGCACATGTGCAGTTTAATAAAAATTATATCATTGTATTACGCTTCACATAATAATGTAGTGTTTAAATTAATTATTTCAACATCTTCACGAACGTACAGAAAACAGAAATATTTAATGTTATTTAATAATAAATTACTAGTCAGCAATTTATTAAGTCTGCGCTTTTCACCTTATGTTTACTTAGTCCTCTTGTCGAGCATATAAACCTGGAATTTACAAGTTTGTTATATTGCTGTTAACGCTTCTGCGATAATGTTTTTTTTTATGAATTGTGAGAAGCATCTTGTAAAATTATTACAAAATATTTGTAAAAATTATTCCGTTTTACAAACATCTGAAGTTTCCTAAAGACTTGTTGAAATGTACAATTTTCTCGCATTAATGACATTTTTCATGTCTGACTCTCTTGTAATCTACGTGATAAGGTAGTCGAGACCCCGAAGCAGTATCATTAAAATGCTGCTGCATGTGTATGACAAAGTTATTTTTAGAAAATAATCTTGAACTTTCAGAGTTACTTATCAATGAGACACGTATGCAAGAAATATAATCAAGTATCAACTTGGACTCAATCAAGCTCGTATTCTTAAACATGCTCGTTTAATATCCCTTATCCACCTGCGCGTTAATTCCAAAAATAACGATACGCCTTTACTTGTGAGACCAATAATTTTTTACTCGTATATAATTTTAGATGTAATAAAAAGATTTAGAGGAAAGTCCCCTATCATGGGATAGGCTCCTAATACGAGAGAGCGGAGTTTCTGATAAATTAATAGGCATCGCGTCTGTTGCTTCTGCCATGCATTTATTGCCCTTGAAGTGAAATCTGTTTAGCGGAAAATTGATTGTACGATCGTGCAACCGTTGCGAAAAAAGGATTTGATTGAATTTGGACGTCGAAAACCTACTATCTCATATTAGAATCCCATCTCATAATAGAGGACTTTCCTCTAATTTCTCCACAACTCACCAAGACATCTTCGTGCGCGTCACGTTAAGTCGTTGAGAAATAACAAGTTTTAATTTTCATTTGAAACAAATACTATAAAAAAGATGGGATAATATAAGCCTACTAAAAACATATTTTACAAAATTGTGGTTAACGGAAATTAACAAATGAAAACGGCAATTGAAAGAGACTTCAGTATGTGAAACATTGAAAGTGACGTTAGTTCTGTCTATCGAAATTGTATTTTCCTCTGCAAAGCAGGAAACTTTACTCTTAGACTATATCAATGTACTACATCTTCATAAGAGGAGTTTTGCTGTAAGTTACTCGGTGCAATGCCCATTATTATATAATGCATATAATGTGAAAAGTTATGATTCACGAGCGTTGAAAATTATTAAATAAAGAGAACATCCTTATGGATAACGTACGTGAACATTATACAACATGGAAATTTGCTTACAACTAATTTATCTATTGCTATACGCTTATATACTATTCCATTACCCAGAAAAGTCGTTATGAGTTTTGGGAATAACGTCGTAATGTCCCAGGTGTTCGAGACAAATGTTAACAACCACGGCGATTCCGTGTGTTCGCGTCTCGTGGATTGTGTGACAATTGGAGAGAAAAAAAAATGGAATAAAAATAGGACGCGCCCTAAATCTCCTTTCTTCGCTGGGTGGATGTAACGATACGCCGTATCGTGTGTCGCCTGGGTTACCGTATTTCATGCGTGAAAATATAAAACGTTCAAAGCTTATACTTCAACGGCAGCTTTACGTGCAGCTCCAAGTTTAAGCTCCGTTTCTGTATTTTAAGCAAGCAATCGTAATTTAGTACGTGGCGCGTTTGTGCAAGCGTGATACGAAAAGCGCGGAAGTATCAATCGATCGCGCTTCTCCTATTATTGCCGAACGTTGCGCGGCTACCTTCTCTTATCTCGTCATTCTACATTGCTAACGTTCGAGGATTGACAAGTACAATAGCAAGAGCCGATAACAGGTCTGTTTGGTGCTTTTCTTTTGCATAGATTTCGGTCCATTTAAATAGTTAAAGCCTTATGTATATATCCATCCTATAGTCAAGTCGTACCAGCGCCCTTCTTTGCATATCAAGAGCTCGAGGGGTCTACAATACGCCTCGTTCGATTCTACAACTGCAGGTCTCTTAACGAGCGACAAAGCGAGCGGGCAAATTGTAAATTTACCTGCACCGGAGGCTCGGAGGGCAATATCTGTGGAGTCTCTTCAAATTGTACATGCTCGGCTCTCTCGTCCCTATCTTCTTTATCATCTTTCTCCTCTTTCTTCTCTTTCACCTTTTTCCCTGCCTTGTTCTTGTGCTTTTTCTCTTTATTTTTATCCTTTTTGCCTGTAAACAAAGCGAGAGGATATCGTAACGTACGCGGGGTATTCTTCCCAAACATTTACCTCATCTCATATTTGTATCTTACTTTCTATTTACATACACGCTAAACGTTTCTCGAAATTGTATCTTGTGCGAAACGACCTTACGTACATCAACATAATTACATTACAGATCATGTCGCGGGTCAAACTAACTCGACAGGGCGCAAATTCGGCAAAGCCGCGCAAATTAATCGACGTACTTGACAGCAGATCGTCGGGGAGCTTCCTCTGCTCGGCGATTGCCTCCTCGTAAGACTTCTCTCTTATGCCGAACATCGAGATAAACGCGATGGCCACGGCGGAGAGGACGACAATGCCGATGTACACGAGTCCCGTCTGAACATCCATCTTTGGCGGTTTTACCTGCAAGAGAACAATCACCCCTGAGTATCTCGGCGAGATTGGCTGGAGTTCGGTCGTCGGACGCGGACAAGTTTCTATCACTTTTACAGTATCCTCTTAGCGACTCGGCCGTTTGCCCTTTCAACTTGACGCAAGCTTTTCCCACGTGTATCAGGAAATAAAAGACCGCTGTCCGGTCATACCGGCGGAAAAGGAAACTGCCTCTCGCCAGGCTACGGGGGCAAATAAGAGAAATGTGAGAAGTCTATCCGAAGCAGATTCTCGCGGGGGGGGGGGGGGGAGTCCGGAAGTCGCGAGCGTAGGACCCGGTCTGCAACGAGTTGTCAGCCGTTGGAACTCTATGTCAGTCCTCTTCCTTCTCGGGTGAAGGAAAGAGGACCGGCGTACAGCTCCGGCTTCTGACCAACGACCAAACGGCCAGTTTGACAAACGGCGTGTCAGCTGCAAACCGAAGATCAATTGACTCTCCTCGTCTTCGCCTGGACAACAAAGTAGAAGAAGGTAGGCAGGGTTGACCGAGCTCCAGTTCAACAGTTCACCGACGTACGTGAAACTGGGCCCTAAACAGTTCATCTTGTGCCGGGGGGGAGGGGGAGGAGGAGGAGGAGAGGGCGGCTAACAGCGGTCCGCGTTGAATTTTTTTTCTTCCAGCGGGGAGCAGAGGACGCTCGGAGAATTCGTCCTTGAGGCAGACCAAGATAACGGCGGGACGTGTGTATACGTGTGCGGGCCGAGCGCGGAGGCGACGAGCGAGCGAGCGAACGGGGTGTATCGGGGCTGCGATACCGCGAGCGGTTACGGTGGGCGGCATATGGATCAACGGGGGCGCGGGTCATCGACACGTCTACGGGGACTGACCGGCGAATTCGGTGCGTCGGGCACGTTTAACGGTGTTGCGGCGCGCGACCGGCACGCCGTTGCCACTGTGCGCACCGCGGTCCCCGTCCCCCGGCGAGGGAGTAGCTGCACGCGCGCCGACGCGGCCACTTACCGAGGGTGTTTATCCTCGTAGATCCCCGGAGTAGACGCGGGTGCTGGCAACAGGCGCGCGAGGTCGAGGGCGAGGGCCAGGGGATCGTCGTGCTCCTCGCTGCGGGGACAGCGGCCACGGCTGGGTGTCGCGTAGACGGCCGAGTGATATAGAAAGAGAGAGAGAGAGAGAGAGAAAGAGAGAGAGAGAAAGAGAGAGAGAGAGAAAGCGAGTGCGACGGAGCCAGGAATCACACGCGCGCGGCTCGATTCCCCGAAGCACTATGGCGGCCGGACGTGGAGCGAACTGTACTAGGCGCCGCAAGCCACGCCTATCGGCCGCCGTCGCTTCTGATTGGCGCGCGGCCTCTGCCACGTATGCAGGACGGCGCGCGGCCGCGGCCGCGCGCGCGAACGCTCGGGGGCTCTCTCTCTCTCGATTATCTCGACGCGGATCGGCGATGACGGGGACACCGGTGTGCGACGAAAGATCGACGGTCCAATTCAAGTGTGGAAGATACTTAGCGTCGAGCCCGCGCGAGAGATCGTCGTGCGATGGTGAACGCGCGCGCTCGACCCTTTCGCGATTACCTTCACGCCGGTTGGCAATTTGGCGCCGTCGATCAATCGAGTCCGCGGAGTCGAGCGATCGATCGATCCCGCGCGATCGCGAATGCGCGCGCTGATCGAGCGGAATTGCCGGGATTCTTGTCCGCGAAAGGGATAGTCGTAATTGTCGATGGTTGATTCGATAAAGGCTGCTTGCCTTTCGGGGAAGACAATCGACACTTCTGGCACGGATGGCCGCGCGTCGCGTTCCACTTGGAATTTTATTGAAGCTTAATCGACGCTCCTGGACTCACGGGAGGAGAGCCGGAGTGTGTTTTTCACCGAAGAACGCATCCCGGAGTGGTTTCTCAATAGAATCATTTTGTAGAACCTTTTTCTTGGAATCTCGGCGATTCGACCGCGGCAAATTGTTCATTTGTGTCTCCTGAATGGAAAACAACCGTAATCTTTGATTCGCATTAAAGATTCACTCGTCATTTCTTTGACAGGACGAGATTTTCATTGGACTCGTATCTCGATAAAATATATAATATGGAATTGTGACTTCTTTCAACAGAATCCTTTTTTAAAAATCCTTCTCGACTGGCAAACCGTCGGCTTTTATTTAATGCGTTAAGGATTACGGTTGTTTTCCTTTCAGGAGACACAGATCGACAATTTGCCGCGGTTAAGTCGCCAAGATTCCAAGAAAGAGATTCCGAAAAATGATTCTATTTCTCCTGAAAGAAAAACAGCCGTGATATCTTGTATCTTCAACGCATTGAATTTGCTTCGCTCGTTATTTCGCCGACAGAGCAAAATTTTTTATTCGACTCCTATCTCGATAAAATATACAGTATGACGGAATTATACAAAATCTGTCGTGCACAGCACGTTTATTACTTTCCGCGCGTTCTTTTCGACAGAAGAGAAAAATAAAGCCCGCTGCAGACGATGCTATTTTTCCTGCTGGATTGCTTGCGATTTAAAGCCCGCTGCAGACGATGCTATTTTTCCTGCTGGATTGCTTGCGATTTAGTAAATTACTATCATTGCACCACTCAGCATTCAGGATTCCTAGTAATTTACTAAATCGCAAGGAATCCAGCAGGAAAAATAGCATCGTCTGCAGCGGGCTTTAGTAAATTACTATCATTGCACCACTCAGCATTCAGGATTCCTAGTAATTTACTAAATTGCAGGCAATCCAGCAGGAAAAATAGCATCGTCTGCAGCGGGCTTAAGTCGCCCTCCCAATCGGTCTCCGGATTGGCTCCACGCTAGTTCCTAAACGCAGGCAGTTTCGCGGCCTGCGCGTCCCTAGATACGAAAGCCAATAGAAACCGCCCCGACGAAAAGTCTCTACGTTATCACCGAATAATCGGCGCGCCCTCCTCTTTTCCTACCCCCTTTTTTCCTTCGCTCTTTAAAGCTCTCGGACTTTAAAAAGCGCGAACGGCCACGCTTCACCGTTCGAGGTTCAATCCTCGGGGGGAGGGGGGGAGAAGAAATGCGAACCCCCCTTCCCAGCCCTCGCGAATTCAAGATGGCCGCGGAACGTCGCGGCGGTGAACGTCTCGGCATCGTCGACGAGAGCGCGTGATCCTTGGAACCTTTTTTTTTTCTCTTCTTCCCGCGATAATCCGACCGCCGCGCGTCCCTCGGCGTCGACCTCGCCGAGGCCCGTCCGCGCCCCCTCCCCGCCCCGCGACGGCGCCGCTGGTGGAGAGCCGCGAAAAAAATGGCGTCCCGCGACACTAGCTGATTCCCGCGGGCGCCTCCGATGTGTCAGCGAGGAGGATGACGATTCCTCGTACTCTCCGGCGTTCTTGCCCGTGACCGACGTGAGTCCCAGCAGGCGGTAAGTCCCGCCGCTCCGCGCGCGACCACGATCGCCGCTCGAGGGGCCGACGCGCGAGAGTCGACGTTGGACGTCGACGATCCGCGGTGCCGTCAATCGCGACGTAACGCGAGGCGCGGGGGACGCGCTCCGCGCGGTCTTCGTCGACACGCGTCGAGAGCCCCGCGTCTCGCCGCGCGGCCCCGGGGACGCTCGTTCTCCTCGTACAGTCGGCCCTCCGAGGGGCGCCCGAGCCGCCGCCGGAGCGGACCGTCGTCGAGCGTGTCCTTTTAAATTGCACCCGGTTTCCCCCGTTCGCGGCGATCCCGGTTCAGCGCTGCCTCTCGTCGCGACAAGTGCGGCCCCGGGTGAGGAGAGGAGCGTGTGGATTGGGGAATCGCGAGCCCTCGCCGGTGGCATTCGTCGGGCGGCGTTGTGTTGGGGTATTGTCCGGTAGCAGCTGCTCATTGTAGTCGCAACACGCGCGTCAATAGTTCAGGCAGCATAATATTTTTAGACGCTACTTAATAGGCCAATTGGATATAGGAATATATATATAGATCATTCTTCAATTTGTGGACACGCACATTTTATGCGACGTGCAAGAAATAGGATACGTCTTGACATGTGCACAAGTGCGTATTGATTAATTTTGTTGCACGCAAATAGCCGAGAATTGTTTTGCCAAGTTGAACCGCGTACAGTTTGCAAACCAAGTTAATTATCTTATAGACATTCTTTCTCCGATTGATACGTGTGACTTATTGCATATATATTTTAGGGTACGTTTGGCGGAGAGCTCGCTGTTAACGCTGAAAATGCCACCTGTCTTACCTTGGATAACGAGCAGCAAGGATAGAATGGCTGCGTCTGGCTGAAAAAGCTGCTTTGCAGCAGTTGCAAGGGTCGTGAGTTTGATCCGAGGGGTAAACCGCTGACCAAAATCATGTACACCAATGCCCATTAATGCCCAGTGGTCATTACTTTATCTTATTATCTTACTTTATCTTTAAAACGCCCCAGCAAGGCCTAATGCCCAAACTAATGCCAAGCAATGCCCAGTAATGCCGCAGATCTGTACACCACAATGCCCTCAGCGGTTTCCCCCCTCGGTTTGATCAAAGTATGCTCCTGTGGCGAATTCGGCAGCTTGCACTAGTGCGTACTACTCAGTTGTTTAACTTTGAGCCTAGCTTAATTCGTTCTTTGTCTCTTCCTGTTACTTTAGAAAGAGACGAACACGAATTGAGCCAAGATTAAAGTTAAGCGACGGTTAAACCGGGCCTTGGAAGTATTTCAGAAAGTGAAAGCGCGTTGATGCACATGATTATAAATAACAATCGTAATAGATCACTCGTCGGAAAGAAAAAAAAACCCCGTACAAGAACATCCTATCCTCGTCTGCTAACCTGGGATAGGAGGATTGTCGGACTCCCTCCAACTAACGTCTCCAACTCAAGCGTAAAAGACTACAACAGATCGTGTACGTTTTCAAGATGCGACACGTTAGGATGGACTGATGGTTCGAAAACTTTTTAACTGTATTTGAACTTTACTTTTCGACCATATCACTATAATAAGCTGATCCTTAACTCTCGACGATATCTATAATTGTAATTATATTATACATATTATTTGTACAGTAAATTTGCACTGAAGAAGGTGCCGTGACACCGAAACGTTCGCCGTGAAGTTACTCTAAATGTATATTTAATTTAAAATTTTTGACTTTCATCTTACATCGCTCGTGTTGATATTGGCCCACTGTTTATGTTCATTTCAAAAAGTATTTAAGACGATCCTTAAATACAAGAATTGACTGTAAACGAGCCTCGGTGCGCACTAGTGCAAGCTGCCGAATTCGCTCTTAGATTCTGCCACAATGAAGAGCACACGTTAATCGGATTCAGGATTTTTGCAACAGTTGTAAGGCAGTTTCTTCTGCTGAAGCGCTGGTAGCGAGCTCTGCCCGAGCGCATCCTTGACGATGCATTTCGGAGTACCGCAGTGAATTTCCTTTGAATTCCGACAGATTGTCAATATGACTCCTGAATTGAACCGGAAGCGCGGCTCGTCTGTCAGCTTCACCCGGGCGAAGGACGACAGCGAGGATGCCGAGGACGAGATTCACATATCTCTGGCACCGTACATACAAACGTATCTGGCGCACAGCGGCCAGGGACTGGGGTGCTGCGGTGTCAGTTTACCCGTGCCGTTCGAGCGCGCGGCACCGCGTTCCTGGTGGAATCCCAGATTCGACTCGGAGATCCTTGAGGAGCAGTTTAGGAGAAGTGCCTTTCCTCAAATTAGATTAAGATTTCGGTTTGTGGCTCGTATATACGTAATCTGTGCAGTGAGCGTGACAATTGTCTATACGTAATATACACGATTGGGAGTATTATTATGGGACCAATCGTTAGCTTGCTTGAGTACTTGTATTGTCACCAAGAAAATTAAACAAAAACGCAAAGCTTATATTCGACCGAACTGGCAAAATTTCGATAGCTTATTTACTTTATATTTAATTTAAGATCTAAAAATATTAATGTAATTAAAATTATTGAAAGATCCGAATTGTAGAGAGTGAAAGCGTATAAAATAGAAATTGGTAATAATATTAAAAGTAATAAAAAAAAAGGACGAAGTAAATAAGCTATCGAATTACCAGTTTGGTCGACTATGAGCTTTGCGCTTTTGACTGGTCGTTAGATTAAAAAGAGTCAGGGAGGGTTCTAATGATTACCTTAATCCTTTTGCAGGTACGCTCTCACGTATATCTTGCTAGTGTCCTTATCGTGGCTGGTGTATTTTGTGATAATCGGAATAGAGAACGATACGTCGACGTGGACGGCGTTGGCGGGTGTTTTCGGCATCGTCGGCGTCCTGGCCTCGGCAGTCCTTTATTTAACACACACGGACTATTACAAATCCTACGTGCTACCAATTTCCCTGGGAGCCGCGGCGACGCTCTGCCTCCTGTCCCTACTCTTCCTCGCCCTGGTGCCGCCCCACGTGGACGGGCTGACTCTGGTCGGACACTTCGCCCTGTGCTCCGAGATCTTATTAGTCATTTACACAGTGCTGCCGATGCCGCTCTACGCCTGCGTGGGCATATCCACGCTGTACTCATTCATGTTCGAGTTCCTGACCGCCTATCTGTACGGCTGGAAGGACGCGCGCCAGAGATTTTACACGGGCGAACGAATTGTACAAAATGATACTTCAGGAATTAATCGTATGGCGGCGGGGGGAGAACGAACGTTGGTACTTACGCACTCGTCTCTAAGGGATCCTCTAAATGTTGCTGGTCTACAGAATGTGATACGTAATATTAGTGATTTTACTACGGCAATTAGTGCAGAGGCGATGTCGAGATTGCGCCAGGGCAGAGACACAATGAATGCGGGAGCGAGATACTCAGAGACGGTGGCTCAACGATTGCACAGCGCCCTGAGCGACACGAATGTTTTAACGAGATTAAACCCTAGCGTCCCATCCGTGATAACCGCTGTTAATTCCACCGTGAATTCGTCGCCTATAGATAATTACGCTAACTTATTCGCCGATGATATTGACTTCTCCACGAATCTCGCGATAAGGATCTTGATGCAGATTTGCATTCATTTGATAGGCGTGCATATTTTGATAATGACCTTCGTGAGAATGCGCGGCACGTTTATGAAGGTCGGCCAGTCCCTGCTGGTACGTCGACAGCTGGAGATGGAGAAGCAGCTCAAGGAGAAGATGATACACTCCGTTATGCCGCCGAAGGTCGCGGATTGGCTCATGGAGGAGAGCGAGCGCGAGAGGGAGCGCGAGGACTCGCTGAAGAAGGGCTCGATACCGTCCAACAACACCGACATTCGCTCGTTGTTTCGACCGTTCAACATGCTCTCGATGGAGGACGTCAGTATCCTGTTCGCCGACATCGTCGGATTCACCAGGATGAGCTCGAATAAGACCGCGGAGGAATTGGTGGGCATCCTGAACGACCTGTTCGAACGTTTCGACGATCTGTGCGAGCATCACGGTTGCGAGAAGATATCCACGCTGGGAGACTGCTACTATTGCGTAAGCGGATGTCCGGAACCGAGGTCCGACCATGCCAAATGTTGCATCGAAATGGGGCTAGGTAGGCGGCGCATTATTGTACGCGTTATGTGAGCGTCACCTCAGACGATTGTAAAATCAATAGGCTCTGTTAAAGAATTAACGAAATGATAAATAGGCAATAAGAGCCGGACCAGGTGTTATTCACTTTAGCACCTGGTCCGGCTCTTGTTGTTTATTTATTGTTTCGCTATTACCTCAATCTCAAATTAATGTTGTAAATTTCTCTAGCTATGATCGAAGCCATCAAGCAATTCGACGTCGAAAGACGCGAGGGCGTGAATATGAGAGTGGGTGTGCACACTGGCACCGTGCTGTGTGGGATCGTGGGCACGAAGAGATTCAAGTTCGACGTTTGGTCGAACGACGTGACTCTGGCGAACAAGCTGGAGAGCACGGGAAAGCCCGGCCGTGTACATCTGAGTGAGAACACTTTGAGATTTCTGGGAGATCAGTACATTACGGAAATTGGAGAAGTGGTCAATGGTAAGTCGAATAACGGGGAAGAAAGCAAGTAGGAGACAAGGCGTCTGAATTTTGTATCATGCGTGTCGTTTCAGGTGTAAAAACTTACTTCATTCGAGCCCGTAAGTCGGACTTTGTGAATCAATTTATTACGAACGTCACGTCACCCAAGAGTATCTCGCCGTTGATGCAATCGCGGAATCGTCTGGCGTCGTGCAACACTCAGGCCAAACCGCGCTATCACTATCTCCACATGGTCACGAACGCGAGCAATTACAGGATGAAGGCTAATTCGTTGCCCAGTATCTTGGACTCCGAGAACGACGGCATCGCGGACGAGAAGGAGGACTCGAACAAGAGTCCGACGTCCACCGCTAGTTACGGCAAGAGAAAAGTGCGGAATAAGCCGTGGCGATACCTGCAGAGACAGCGGACGACCGAGGAAATGACGCCACTGGAGATCGAGGAGGGAAGGAATATCGCTATGGAACGAGCGAAACCCGATGCTCAGGCGTACGAAGAATGCAATGGATTTAGGCGGGTTAGTAGCTCTTTGTCCCGTTTCCTGGTGATTTTTTTCATGATTGGTCGCTTCGCAGGTTCCTGTGAACAATGGCGTTGAAATGGACCCGAATCCTGTACCTTCTAGTCCTTTATTATCTGGTCAAGAGCCGATTAGTAACGCTTCTTCCATTTGCAGTAGAAAAGACTCCGGCATCAAGAGCAATAGCAGGCGAAGTAGTATACAACAGCAGGTACATCTTTGTAAATATATTTTCAGGGTGTCTACTACCGGGAGAAACCTGGAAATTAGCAGAACGACTAAATTAGTAACAAAGTAGCAGAAAACTTGTATGTGTTTGGGGAAGCGATAACTAACGTTCCAAGCATCCAAGCGTGAAAAAATGAAATTTTAAATGATGTAAAGTGTCCGCTCTTGTTTCCTATTCGAAAATTTTTAATTTTCTCTTTACGATTGTGTAATGTAAATAAACACACTGTGAACGAGATAAAAATAATCCTATGCAATAATGAAATTTATTTTAAATTTGCATCGAAAATTATTACATTATAATTTTGCCTGGAAGTTTCTATGAAAATACTTGAAAGATCGGGGAATTTTTTGGTCGAGAAACGAGTAGATACCTTGCTTTTCCAGAATATCTCTCGCTACTGTAGAAATTGTTCTCTATCGTGCTCTTCTTATGACTTTATAGTTGTTCCTAATGAATGGCATGACCCAAGGTGATCTATTGGGGCACAGGGTCAGTGGCTATTACACCTCTAGCTCAACGTTAAACTCCACTCACGAACCCTCGTCGTCGGTGCCGCCTTATCCGTTCCCTCCGATGGTAACTGACACATTCGGCGCGTGCTTTCATAAATTACGCAAGCAATCCGATCTCCAGTTAATTAGGTGAGACGAGTCGTTCCTCGGCGCGTTTTATGAATTGCGATAAATCTTTTTTTTTTTAACATCATTATCTTCCGCTTGAAGGTGCGTGCAAGACAACGTGAGCTCTCAGCGTTCATACTTTGTCAAACCGCCACTGTCGAGCGTCACTCTCTTCTTCAAGAACAAGGAAATGGAGAAGGAGTACCGAGAGAACGCGCACAAGGCCAGCGAGGGTATGGGCGGTAACCCGCCCACCCTGGCCACCTCGAGATTCAACACGTACTTCGACATTTTGATATCCGCCCTGGTTTACACGGCCATCACAATCTCGTTGTTTCTTCTGTGCAAACCGACGGTTTATTACACGGCGTTCTCCGTGCTCGCAACCGCCGTGCAGGTGATCGCGGTGTCCCTCTGCATCCGTCAGCTGCTCTACCCGAACACGGCCCACGCGACGTTCACGCAGAGAATCTTCAAGTTTTTCTCCCGCTGGTACCCGTGGCACGTGTGCGGCGCGGTCCTGGTCGGCCTGCCGATCATCTCCATCCTGCTGAGCCTCACGTGCAACAGCTCTCGGAGCCTCAACAACTTTGAATATTACTACAGCTACTTGATCTTCGTCGGACTGGTCCACTTCTGCAACTTCACGCAGCTCAATTGTTGGATGAAAAATCTGCTGGTCACACTTACCGGCATACTGTTCATATGTCTCGTGGTGAGCCACGTATCGCCGTACCGCCAGGAGAATCTCGGTGGCAACAATCGTGTCAACGACTCGCAGCTGATGCAGTTAGGCGCGCTGCATCCGAATTTTGTCAAATCGCTCGCGAGCGAACTGAACGGCACGAGAGATTTCCTCGCCGCTGCCGCTTCGACGAGAACGCAATCGCCGGTTACGGGATACACGGGAGGACAAGAAGCGTCGCCTCGCGTGCCACCTCGTACCAAGTACAACGAGAGATTGTACAATTCGGAGATATATTTGGACATGGTGCTGCTATTGCTGCTGGTCTGGTTCCTGAACCGCGAGTTCGAGATCAGCTATCGGCTGTGCTTCCACGGCAACGCGGTGGCGGCGCGCGACAAGACGCGCGTGCAGTCGATGAAGAATCAGGCCGACTGGCTGCTGCACAACATCATACCCAAGTACGTGGCCGATCAGCTGAAGACCACCGCCAAGTACTCGCAGAATCACAAGTCCGTGGGCATTATCTTCGCCAGTATCGTTAACTTCAACGAGCTGTACGACGAATCGTATCTGGGCGGCAAGGAGTACCTGCGCGTGCTCAACGAGCTCATAGGCGACTTCGACGAGCTGCTGGAGAGGCCGGAGTACGCGAACGTCGAGAAGATCAAGACGATCGGCAGCACCTTCATGGCCGCGAGCGGCCTGAATCCGCAGGTGAGGCAGCAGAGCGAGCACGAGTACACGCATCTGTTCCAGCTGCTGGACTTCGCCGTGGCGATGCACAAAGTGATATACGACTTCAACCGGGACCTGCTGGGCTTCAAGCTGATCCTGCGAATCGGCTTCAACTACGGCGACGTCACGGCCGGCGTCATCGGCGCTACCAAGTTGTATTATGATATCTGGGGCGACGCGGTCAACATAGCGTCGCGAATGGACTCCACCGGGGTCGCCGGTAGGATACAGATGGCCAGCAATTGTTTGGACGTCCTGTCGGAACGATACGAGTTCGAGCCGCGCGGACAGGTGTACGTCAAGGGCAAGGATAACATGGACGTGTTCCTGTTGAGAGGCAAGAGGAACGCCGATACGACCGGCACTTGAAGACTCGGCGTCGATCGTACCGGTGTCTTCGTACGTGACGACCATACGTCGATAATCTGACGCTATTCGCGGCCTGCAGCAATCGTGACATTCAGATTAGATCTGTCCATTAGCATTCGGACATTTTTCATGATTTAACATCTTGTAATTTGAGCTTTCGGACGGTAAGCGAGCCGAGTTGGAACGGGTAATCTCTTCGCCTTTTATTTACAGTTACTCTACACTTTGTGCATTGTTATATCAATATTCGATACTGATCGTTTTCTCCTTTTTTTTATACGTTGATAAATATTTGATGAAAATAAAACTCGATATGACTGAAAGCCAAAGGGAGAAGGGACTTTACGGTGAGATTTACAAATACTTGGTACAAATCGATCGTTCGGTCTGCATACTATCCCGAAATTCAAATTTGTTTTAACGTAAGACCTGAAAAACGTCTGGATATTGACGATGGATAGATCTAACAGTCGACTCAACTCGTGTCGTTGATTAGGGAGACGCGTGCGTCCGAAAACGGGTGAGGAGCAAACGGAATAGAACAATATATCTTTTTCGCGATGCGCAGCGGTCACCGCGTGTACTGCTGAAAACGAAAAACGTTACGAAGCCTTATTCGTTGACTGCTCAAACTCTATTAGCGAGAACTATTTATTAACAAGAGATATTACTGTATTTTTGTAAAAATATCGAACGATATTTAGCGGGAGAAAAAGATATATCGTGAGAAATTATCCGAGATCTGCCTTTGCCTCGAGTACAAAACTGAATCAGTGGCGAGGGAATCTTTTTTAGAAGCGTTTTACGTTATCGAGCATCGAAGAGAACGGTAATTATTTGTGCATATGTGTATATAGATGCCACGAGTAAATTTTTGCACGAATGTATATGCATGTAAACTTGAACGTCGAATTTTTAGATGCAACTGATGCCTGTTTCCTAAGTCGAGTCAGGAAAAGGTCATTCTTCTCGATCGGGCAATCGAATGGCAGTGAAACGCTCGTGCAATTACTTGGAGGAGTCGATGGAAGTTGATACGTGTGGCATTTTATCCTATTCGATATTCTAACGATAAGAGCAACAGCGAAGTGCGTCCGACGCGATAAAAGTTCAACGAAACTCGATTACCCCGTTACTTGTGAGTTAAATAAATTTTTTTAAGTAATATACTAAAAAAATGTGAGTTTACACAGTCTCTTGTCTTCCTGTCTGATATATCGTGATGCGTCACATACAAAATGAATGTAAGACAAAACGTTAGAAGCGTCGCTTGGAACTCGATCTACGCTAGAACAGATAGAAACGAACGAATTAGTAAAATTTTTACCTTAGAAATTTTTATCTCTTAGATTACGAGCAGTGAAAAATAATTTTACCAAAGAACAATAACTAACGATTCAGGCCGCGGACGTGTGCATATGTAAACGTAGACTATGCTTAAAGTATGTTGTAGGAAATAATTAATACGTGCGTGGAATATAAAAATTTTAATTTACACACATTCCAAAACGTAGCTCGCGGACACGAATTAACGACTAACACAATAAAGTGCTTCTTGTCGCCGTTAAGCAAACATCTCCTTGTTATATATTTGAACATAAAAAATTGCTACGTCGGATTCCAAAGAGTATCTTGTTGCATTTTCTTTTTAATCTCGATGACAAGTGACACCGCGTTCGATGGGATTTGTGCTATGTAGAAGATAGCATGTGTGTGCGTGTGTGTGCGTGTATGCGTGTGTATTTACATATATATATACATATATATATTTGTATTTATATATGTACAGAATTTTGAGAATTTTCTGCGAAAGTCTACGTCAACATGAGATGCTAGGCGTTTGCCTTTATGGAAATGATACGCAGTGCGAGCATAATACGATAAATGGTCTGGATCATAACCGTCGTTGTATATTCGGCATGTAATACGCTCGACATAAGAATTGTGGTCTTGATAAGCAGCGTTTAACTCAACGGAAATACTTGTTCCACGTGAAAGTAATAATGTCAATAATTTATGTATAACGAAAGAGGGACCTGAACGCCGGTTCCTCCAAGCCCTGTAAATATAAATGCTGTAACATATTTGTGACCTGTGTATGATTTTCATTTGGATGTTATTACTTCGGTGGGTGAACCGGAGAGTCGCGATATTGTAGCTTTACTATCACTTCGATTTGACGTTTATCGCGCGAGGCTTACGCCGAGAAATTTCTACGATTACAGTCAATTATAGATTTTGCGTTCGAACGTACGATCGAAGATAACAATTCGTATCGCGAAAGCGCGCTCGCAAACACTACGATTTGTACATACGTTAACGCTCGCCGATCTGTGGGATGGAAGGGATACGTTATGAGATATCAAATAAAATGTATTGCAAACCGTATATACATATATTTACCGAGCGTACACAAGTTCTACGGACAACGAGGCATAGAGACTCCAGGCTACATTAACGTACATATAATTATTGTCAATGCAATTTCTTTATTACAATACAATATATACAAGATTATACCGTTGATTTCACTATAGCTGATGTACAAAAACGGGCGAGGATTCTCTTTCTCGCCTGGCATAAATTGTTGGAACATTTAATACATGTTATAACAAGGCGTGATGTGTGTGATTGATATATATATGTGTATATATAAATATATATAATATACAATATATATTATATAATTTATATATGTGCATATATACATTATATGTTGTATATAAACGTATATAAACAATCGTGAAGTCATTTGGGTAATTTCACAACATTTTCAGTTGAATGTATGAATGTACGATATGATTTAAATTGTCACGTTGTAAAAGTCAAACTTAAGCCGGTAATAAAGGATTTTCAAAAAATGGTATCATTGCAGGTTCAGTAACTTTTGCAACTCGATAAAGATCAAAAGCATTCGGTAGTAAAACAAGCAGACTTTTTGCAATACCGGAATAGCTCCATGTAATTATTACTATTGATTGTTGTGATGTACATATAGACTTTGTTGGTGATTTGTTCATGTCATATTGCATTCACAATCCTTGAAAAAGGAGATAAATATGAGACACTTCGTATATGACACGTTGTGAAAAATTGGCAATGTGATACGCTTTTTCGATGTATATACGGTGTATACATGCGTATATCAGGTGTTCCCATTGTAAAGAGTTTGATCATCTCATGGAAGAATACAACAAAAAAGAAACACGTTGTATTAGTCTTGTTTTTTCCGTCGCCGATGTTTCATCGATAAAAAAATTAAATGCTTCTGTGAGTGGGCACTTTCCATCACGTTATGAGCGACAGAATCTTTTTCTTTCTCGTCAATCATACAAACCAGTAACTACTCTTCTCACACAGTCTACCGATCGCATATTTGTTCCTAAAAGCGCAGTGGAATGCTTGAGAAAGTAGTGTGGACTACTCATGCAAGAATTTGCGATTTATCGAATTTAAAACTCGTCGTTGTGCGGACAGAGAAAAAAATCAAATTTAACAAAGATCGCTTAAAAGCTCGTTCTACACGTAGCATACAATTCTAGTCGAGCAAATAATAAAAAATTTTCGAAAAAAAAAGAAGATTAAAAACATTTTTGATATGTGATATTGCGATGGTAGTAGTCTTGATGGCGATTCGTGTGCACGGTCCTTTCTCGGTCTTAAAAAAAGATTTAATATCCTAAATACGCGTCTGAATTTCTCTCGGAACGATTTTCGCAACAATTCGCGTGCAATCTGTTACCTACTTCTTAAATCGTTAATTGTCATTTGCGCGCTTATCGTTAGTTTGCATTTATATTAAGATCGTAATAATAATATACAGATGTCCGTACGTTCTCGCATTAATCGTGTATGTATACATATACATATCCTCTTGATTAAAACTGCCGTCTTGCATGTAAATACAGTATCGTGTAATTTAATTGATTTGTATGTTGTACCGCGGGTTTTCAATTTCTTCAACGTTCGCGAGAAAACTCGGCTGTAAGGAAGACGTTGATCGACTTTTCGTGTACGTACTCTTCGGCGTCGATCCATGCCTTGAAAAAAATCAACGAATAGTGTAACATGAGATTTCAAACAAATATGTATATATATAGTGTATGTGTGTTGTGTAGACGAGCGATTACATTCGTCCTCTTCTACTCTGGTAGAAGCTCAATCGCTATAAGATTTTATTATACAATATGTATATACTTATATGTATATAGATATATGACACCGATGTAATAAACTATACCTCGAAATCCTTAGCGTGGTATAATACAATAGATATGCTCCTTTTAGCTGCATTTTTAATTGCACGAATGTATAGCTTTTCTTCTCCCTAAATCGCGAACGCATACGTCTTAGACCCGGTTTCACCAAACGTCGCTAAACTTTCATCTTAGTTTAATTCATGTTTGTCTCTTTCTAAAGTAACAGTTGGAAAGAGACAAAGAACGAAAAGGATGTATGTTACTTAAGTTAAAATAGAGGGAAAAAGCTGAAATTTACAGAAGTTGTGCATTTATATACCATGAAAACCTGTGATAAATTTTGGATCAATTGACTGATTCGTTTTCAAGTTATTAATTTCTTAAAATTTTATGTGCGTTCCAGACAACACGCTGTCCAAAATAGAAATATAGGGTACCTTTTATAAGACGTCTTATGATGTTACGTGTACAAGATGTCTTAATGATATCTGTAAAATGTCTTATATTCCGATTTTAAACAACATATTGTTTGGAGATTGACAGGTTATGAAACATTTTTCTGTCTATATGCAGATTATATATGTCAGATTTTTGTTTTTAGCAGTTGGATTCATGGCAAATTCCCAGCCAAAAGTTTTTAACCGCTATTAAGAATATTTATAAATACGCTGTCAATAATTATAAAAAGAGGTTGAAGTTATTTAAATCAGTAAAATTAACATCTTTGTTATAATATTCAATAATAGCCAGCCGTTAAAGTATTCATACAACCGATATATATTGAATTTTTAAGATTACTGTATTTTTTGCTGGGAAGGTATACGTAATACATCCTTTCAAAGTTAAACAACGTTGGTGAAACCGGGCCTTACTTAAAGTACCAATAAAAATAAAGAAGGCTTTCAGCTAAAGAGAACAGATCTAACGTGCCACAGTCACTATGGACTTCGGAGACATAATTTAGAAAGTAGCAAAGAAAAAAAAAGAGTAAAGAAAAAGAGAAATATATTAGTATTCGGTTTTGCACACATCAGTCACAGCTCGGACTCGCGGTTCTCTTCCTTCTTTGTTTATACAAAGCAAACTCACTTCGCGGCTCGCTCGCGTGTATCGTAAAATTTTACTCATCACACATTAGTCTTATCACAATTTTCCTTACGTCTCATTGTACAATCCTTACGAACTTTTTCTTGACGCACATCCCGTGTTTGCCACAAAAAGCGACATTGTGTATAATGCGTTTGGGATTTTTAAAAAATGTTGACTAAAATGGATCCTGAAAGGATGACAACGCATCAAAAAAATTTTCTGTCGCCACCTAAAAGATCGAATGTTCATTCTTGAATAACGTGACGGAACGCGAACGACATCGGCCATGTTCTTCCTCCTGCGCGAGTCTTTAAAATTAATTAAAATAAATAAGAGTAACGACAGAATGTGCGGTGTAAAAAATTATCTACACTTATATCGCCGTAGCTGCATCTTCGCCAGTTTGAAATTTACGATCGATTTCAGAGTGAGGAAAGTGCAGAAAGATCTCCTCCGCTTCATTGCTTATCATAAATATTTATGTACTATTAATTATGTATTTATAATTTATAATCCGAAACTTAATTTGGAGCACCCAGTGACTGAGTAAGGATACGGCACGCCCGAGTGTTCCGCAGGCATCATCTCGACATTCCATACGATTGCAATTTTGTTAAAATTCGCATGCTTTTCCCATTCTACCACGACATGTATCTTATTTAAAAACGCCCTCGTTGGAAGAATACAAGTAAAAATAATCGACGAAATTTGCAATCGCATACAAATCTGAGGTGATACCTCGAACACTTTAACACGGCTCATTTACGGCTGAGTCGCCGTAAATAAATAAAAATTGTGAATTTTCCTAGAAAGAAACACGTTGTTTCTGCGAGCTTGGATTCTTTTTTTACGCCATTAATATGGCCGCCTTTGAAGAGACCTTTTTACAATAACTTATAATTATTTATTGAGTTAGACCAGCTATGCAAAATGTGATTTTCTAAAACGGTCTGCTACGTAGATCCAGCGAACAGTGCTGTTATTCCCGTGTCAGTGGAATTTTTCGAGATCTCATCCACGCGCACCGGATGAGGCTTACCGGATACTTCTATTCGCGGTAAATTGTCTATTTTGACCTCCTTGCGGAACAATTGTCCTACGCTTCTGCCGATAAGCTGTAAAAGATGCATCAAAACCCGATCATTATTAGATTGTTCACAACAGCTGGAAGAGACAATAGAATCGCGATAAATTTTGTTTCTTTTCGAGGCCACTCCCTTTAGAAACTTTTAACAAGACTTCAATTGCAGATTTTAAGTTGAAGAATTGGTTTTAAAAGATATATATATATTTTTTTTTTTAATATTGCAATCATACGTACCTGATTAGTAATTTTCTTGAAGAGATCCTTCTTGCCCTTTTCGACTTTGTTGCCTTTCGTGCTGACCACCAACATTTTCTCATCGAAGCGCTGCAGGTCAGCAGGATTGACTCCCGGGATTTGCTGCATCACGTCGATGATGTTCGGAAACTTAGGTCTGAGGCATTCGTAGACTTGTGCGCCCAGAGTGACGAGGGAGCCCTGGTTGGCCTCGTGCTGACCGTGCAGTTGCAAACCCTGAAGAACGGCGACCATGACGTGCGCCGCCATAGTCGGAGTGAGACTGCCGTCAGCTGCCAGTGCTCGGACCACAGGCCCAGTCAGCATCGTAGCCTTGAGACTCGCATTCGAATCGTTCCATGCGAGCGCCCTAGAAATACAGAGCATTTATCAATCGAGAAGAAATGTTTAAAAAATTAAGATTAAAAAAAAACAAGAATTAATAAATTCTCTCTCGCTTTCACTAAAATCCACAATGGCACTTTTTTATTCGTGCAATTACAGAGGAAAGTCCTCTATTATGAGATAGGCTTCTAATATAAGATAACGGGGGTTTCTGTTAAATTAATAGGCATCGTCAGTTGATTCTGCCATGAATGTATTGCCCTTGGAGCGAAATCTGTTTAGTGAAAAATTCATTTTTAGCTTGTGTAATTGTTGCAAAAAAGAGATTTGGGATTGAATTTGGGTATTAAAAATCTGCTATCTCATAATAGATTTTCCCCTTGTTATTATTTCTTACCCTAATACGCATAGGACGACGCTGTGACAAGTAGATGGATGACGCAAAACGGTAGCCCCAAGCTCACTGACGACCTCGGCGACGATGCTGTTTCCCCGCGAGAGAGGCGGATCCACCGCCATTCCTCCGCTGTCCTGTTCCATGGTATCCGGGGGAGCGGCGTCGCACGCGGCTCCGCCGACCAGAGCCACTTTTAACACATCCACGAAGTCCCTGGTCAGATTCCTGTTGAGCATGTCGTCGATGACTTCCTGCGTATCTGTGTTCTCCTCATCCAGGCTGCCGGACTCGTAGAGACGCGCTATGTACTGCCACTTTGCGCTTAATCTTTGGTACACTGAAAAAAAAGATCACGCGGAATATATGATCGTTTCGTAATTTCATTTCGTTTGACGTGGTGAAAAGCGCAAGAAAAAAAAAAGGAGGGAAATGAATGGTCCTGAGCACTCACTGTGTACGGACACTTGAGCCAACACAGGTACTAATACGCTCTCGTAAAAAGCCGGCGGGCACGAGTATATAAACGGCTTCATGAACACGCGTATAATCGGTCGTAGTCTATAATCTGGGATCACCTGGAAGAAACAGAAGCATCTTTTGAGTTTTATTTAATTATATTATACGTATATTATATACATCACACGATTTTGTGCGCGAGTCTTTAATTTAGAGATGAAATAAAATAACATTAGATTACCTCAATGTTCGAGAAGACCGAGTTCAACAAGGCTAGTGCAAGTCCAGGCAGCTGGTAAAACTCGCGGCCGATCATGTGACAGCCGCTGCCTAACATATGATAGCACTGATCATGAATCGTACTCAGGAATGATTGCATTCGAACCAGAGAAGTGCCCAAAGCCTGGTCCGTTTCACTATTATTGTCGTTGGTTACATTCACGCCCAGAAGATTCGCTTTCTCCGATTCCAAAAGTCCATAAGCATTTTTGTAGCCCTGGAATAGAAACATATGTGATAATCTGTTTAACAAGGACGTGGCACCTGCTATTCGACGCAACTCTGTTATTTCCCTTACAGAAGTGTAACAACTGGAATGGAAAAAAGCACTGAACAATTACGAGAGTTCAGCAATTGAGTTATTATAAATTACTGATGTACAGTAACTTTCTAGCAATTATTTCGCTTACATTTCTATAAGGGTTTACTCGCAATGATTAGCGATTGCATGGTACTCGCTACTCGCTCGTCGAGATAGACGAAATTTTGTGTGCGCTCGCACTCATCTTTTTAGATATCAAATATCTATTGTTGTAAACATATTTATTTACTAGAGGTCTTCGGGGAAGTGTGGCCGCTCTACATCTATACGATGGTCTACTAAACCGTTAAGCAAGATACCAAGCATCGCTCTGGAGTTGCGCTACTAGTACACAGAGGAAAGTCCCCTATTATGAGATAAGATTCTAAATGTGAGATAGTAGGTTTCAACGTCCAAATTCAATCGCAAATCTTTTTTCCCAACAATTACATGATTTAACAATCAATTTTCCACTAAACAGACTTTATTAATTTAGTAAAAACTCCGCTACCTCATAACAGGGGACCTTCCTCTATATTCTTACTTTCTTCAGTAACGTGCTTGAATTCATATTGTCGCCAGTGATAAAATCCAACCAAAATGTAAAACTTATAGTCGACCAAACTGACTTTTATCTTTCCTTTCAGTTTGACTTATAAATTTGCTGGTACAAACTGTCTTCGACACCTATTATCTGTATTACTTGATAAGGAGTTGGAATTAAATCGAAATGTTGCAAATGAACCATCTACATTTTGCCAGTTTGGTCGACTATAAGTTTTGGTGTTATTCAGTAAAATAAAGTAAGTGAGAAAGATTTCGAGTGTGGGCCAAATAGCTCAGTTAAAAGAGCATTCGCCTGGCAAGCGGAAGGTCCCAGGTTCGAATCGTGGTCCTCGCCTGTTATTTTTCTCGCCGAAAAATTAACAAGTGGCGTGTCTTGCCTCCCCGAAGATGCACCCCTATTTACCATTTTGAAAGCTTAATTTACCCAATGTCCTTGCATTGAATCTCCGCACACTCGAGTAACGTTAAATGTCACCTCAGATAGAGTGGCGAGGGCGACAGGACTGAAGAGAGCGTTCATCGTTCGCAGCAGCGTAAAAAGCGTGGGCAGAACGGAGATCACGTGAGGTGTCGCTGGGTTGCGATACACCGGATTGCCGCTCTCGCTCAGCGCGGCCACGAAGCCGCCCCTGGCCGCGCGGTCCGGGTCCTCCGGGATCGAGCACCGCTTGACCACGCTCAGCACAGTGCAGATGCACATCATGAGATCGCTGCGATTACGTCTGGCTGGATCCTCCAATGTGTTCTCCACCGGCGGTTGGTCCAGCCCCACGAATCGCATAAGCTCCAACGGTCCCCCAAACCATTCCCTGCCGAGCGCGATGAACCTGCTGGACGTATCGCCGATCACCTCCGTGACGAATCGAGTCTGCCTCTCGTAGTCGCAGAAGTGATTCGAGATGAGGAGCAGCGCCTCGTACAGCATGACACTCTCCATTCGAGACAACGGGCTTGGCTCCCGGGTCAGACTGCGCACCATCGTGTGAATCTGCTCGAACACCGGCAGCAACAACAGCGGATACTTGAGGCTGATCTTCACCATAAGACTGGCCGCATGTCGCCGCACATTTTTGGCCGCGCGCGATCGGTTGCATTCATTCTCACCGGGCACCTCGAATACCAACGCGGCGAAGATCTTCTCGAGGACGCGCGGTAGAATAGCGACGCCCGGCATGGCCATCGAGCCGGTCGACATCGACAGGAACACGAAGAGAGCGCTTATACAGGACAACAGAGCGGACAAGATCAAAGGGTCTTGCGGTGAATAATCTAGACAGAGCTGCAACAGCTGTAAGCCGGTCTGCACGTTCGGCCGCTCGTTGATCAGCAAGATCCTGGACACGACCGAGTCCAATGCCTGCGCGAGGGCCTCCCATTCGAGGTACTCTCGGTCGTTCTGGTCGCTCTTGTATTGCAGATTCATCATGCCCTTGGTGATCTTCGCGGTCAGCCACTGTTGCACGTAAGTGAACGTCACTAGAGGCGCCACCATAGTGGCGTGCCTGAATCCTTCCAACAGGTCCATTCTGAAGCGGTGCAGAAAGACGTTGAACTCCTCCTCCGAGTCGTAATCGACGAGGCAGTACGTGGTCATGCCGTTGCTCTGTCTGCCATGCGGATACGTGACGCGGATCAATTTGGGCGCGGTATGCTCCACGTACTTGGGCACGTACGTGAGCAGCAGCGAGTCCGTCTTGATCTGCTCGTGCTTGAATATCATCACCCAAATCGCGTTCGCTAAATGCGTGAGCGTGAGGCTCGGATACATGGTGAACGTGAGCACGGTGTCCAGGAAGAGATTGAAATGCGTTGGCCGCACGCTGGAGGCGTCGTCCTTTCCCCACACGGCGCAGAGCTGCGTCGCCATGCCAGTCAGTACCTGAAACAACAATCGGCGTGAATGACGAGCGAGCTCCCGCGACGAAACTACGAGTACGCAAATTCATTCGCTGATAGAGATTATCGTGGCAAGTACTTGTGTGAGCTTCTTCAGAAATAAGTAGTGGTTTTCGTGGAAATTCGTAGGTCCAGCGAGAGGCGGCGGGGCAGTGGCCGCGTTATTAATGTATCTCAAAGCCTCCTCCGAAAACAGGATCATCAGCTGCTTTCGATCGTCGGCCTTGCCCTTGCGATTTACAATCTGAAGCAGACACTCGGCGGCGGCACACTGAAATATAGGATTTCCCAGCAGGAGGCACAGTATCTGCAACAGTCTCCCCTCCTCGGCCATCACGTGATTTATAGAAACCCACTCGACGAATCCGGTTAACGTAGACAGCACCACCTGTTGTGACAGCAATAAATATTTCAGGTTCGTTGCGAACGAGCCGTGTCGCCTACGCGCGTGTCCTCGTCTTTTCAGACGCGAGGAACTTACTTCAACGACTTTACTGTGCACCGCAGCCTGGCTCTGTCCTAAGGCACTCTTCTCCTGAAACTCTGAAAAGTGTTGCTCCATGAGACTCAGGAAGAAGCTGAAGATCTCGGCCATGTTTGTAGTCAGCGCCTGATATATGTCCTTCCTCCTCTGGTTAGACTCGAGCGTCTGCAGAAGCGCCACGTCCTCCACCAGTCTTAGGAATACCATCAGGACCAGCTCGGTCTGGCTCGCGCCGCGCGTGCACGCCTGACTGAGCTCGGCCAGCAGCGTCGGCCACTGCTGCGGCCACTCGCGCTTTATCATCTCGACGACGACGCGCGACAGGGCGTCCTTGATGTGCGCCTCCTCCTGCAGCAGCGGCTCGGTGCCCTCTTGCAGCAGCTTCATCGCGTTCTCCTTGATGAAGATCTTCTCCGACTGCGAGATCTGCGTCCACCGATACTTGACGCAGTGCTCCATCAGCTGTAGACCGAAGTGGCGCACCACCGAGCTTCGCTCGGGCGACTTCTGCGCCAGGTAGAGGCCGCATTGCGCGCACAACGGCGAGGTCTCCTTGAACCGCTCGCAGGCGTTGTACATCTCCAGACGTTGCGGCTGGGAGATGCCGGGTGACATCATCATCTCGACCACGCGGGCCAGTTCTGCCGATATCTGGGCGACATCGCCCACCCCGAACTCCATTCCTGCTTGCACTGAAAATGCAAGCCATTTCAAGGGATAAGTAACGTTTAAAGGGCCTTCATAATACAATAAGAAAGAACACAGAAATGACATCGAAAAAGGACGAAAGCTGCCGCTCCGCGGTCGGAGCGAAACACCGTGTATTGCATGATCGCGAGTTCAATTGGTCGAAACCAGGAATTTTACATAGCGAGCGCCTCGGGGAGAAAAAGAGAGATTGCCGAAATGTTTTTATCGGGAAGACCGATAACACGTTAAATTTGCAAACAGACGCCGAAAACTTAAATGTAATATATGACTGTGCAATCCAAACTGTACAGTTCGCAATATCACCTTGTATCGTTCCCAAGAACATTACTAACGAATTAGTTGGAGTTAGTTGGAGCCCAGCACAGCGCACATATGCGTACATTTTACAATTCGACTCTGTCTTAATCGATGACGATGACTGACCTTAGGTGCTCGACTCCTAGCCGTTTTACTTATCAACTTACGTTATTTCAAATGGAAAAACAACAGGCCAATAATCATACGGGCAATGGAAGGTGAATGTCCATATGTACTTAAATATTCGGCGTATATTTTAAGCGACCGTTTCGGTGTCGCAGCACCTTCGTCGGTGCAACTTAGTAAATTGCACTAATATGACTTAAATAAAACTTAATCTAATACAGTTACAATAGAGTAACCAAGGTCAGCGGGTAAGATGATTACCAATTGGCGAGCAATTGAACCAAAGGTACAGCTACGTTATTTCATTTCAGCGCCACGTGAAAAGCACCCCAAGAAATAGGGTCGAAACGTCGTGTAATAAACAAACGAAGTAACTAGCCGGTTGGGTCGTCCGTAAGTTTCAACAACACAATAGCTTAGTATCGGATAAAGAGGAGAAGTTGAGCGAAATGAGGGGCGGAGGGAATGAAAATTTACCGTCCCGTCTCTAGCGATCGACAACATATGTGCGTCGCTCAACGCGAGAGGGAACGTTCCCGGCGCGGGCTCTTCCTCGGGAACGATCGGCGATCGACGACCCCGGCATCGTCGCGAGCCAGCGGGTTGACTTTAACGATTCACGACCCAGACTCGCTTCGTTGACCCGAGCTGTCCTCCTCCTCCGATTATCTACGTGCAACATTTGGCGCAATCTCGCCCGGGATGATGCAAGACACCGCGGACGCGGTGTCAATAAGCCGGTATAAATAATGAAAGCGAGGTTCCCTCGCGCGCGCACCCGCGCGAGGGTGCGGACGGGGCCGACGACGGCGGCGGCGGCGGCGTCGCGCTCCCCGGGAAGGAGACTCGCGGGCGGGCGCGCCGCGCGCGCCGAGCATGCCTCGACACCGCCGCCCGCCCGCTCGCTCGCTCCGCTCGGGCACTCACCTGGGCGACGCGAAACTGCGGTACGAGATGGGAGCCTGGCGGGGCCGCGTGGATGCTCTCCGGCGTCGCGCCGCGCGGCTCAATTCATACCCGGCCCGGCGCCGTCCTGCGGGGGGAGAGCGGGCGCGAGGGAACGCAGAGTCGAGGCGACGATCGCGCGTGCCACGCTCGCCACAGCAGGCTCTCCGCTCCGCGCGCACTCGCTTTTCCGGGGACGTGTGTGAGCGGCGGCGGCACACGCTCAGCGCGCTAGTGGCCGGACGACGGTATATCGCACGTACGCGCGATCACGTGCTGCCCTCTCGGCGCCGTGTGGCCGCGCCGCGCCAACCCCTAAACCTAACCTAATCTAGCTGGACACCGGGCGTGTGTGCGTGCACGCGCTCTTTTTCCCGTCCCCGACACGCGGTGAGCGAGCGACGCCGCGCGCGCGATCTATTTCGCCTCCGATCGTTCCCCCCCCCACCCCCCCGGCGTACTTACGCGCGCTTCTGCGACTGTCCCTCTCCTACCCCGTGCCGTTGACGATCGAGCGGCGGGGTCGCGCGGAACTAACCTGTCTCCGTCTCGTAGGTTATGCCGGTTCTGTGCCGCCGCGCGCACGCACACGCACGGCACCGCGGACGGAGAGGATGGACGAGGCAGTCACCACGCCGCCTACATTCAAACGGAGTTTCTGCGAGCGGATCTACTGCGTGGAGCTCTCGCCGTACGAGTGGTCGCAGCACCTCGTCTGCGTCGCCCTCGCCAACACGATCGTCGTCGGCACCGTCAGATTTCAGGTTCGCGCGAGGAGAGCCCCGGGGCGGGCGCAGCGAGTTCCTCGGTGTCGCTCTTGGGGGGGAAAATTTCGCTACAGGTCGCGTGGACAATTCGCGAGGCGCGCGATGGGGCTTTGACAGAGTTAACTCGCGCTTTGGTATCGCGCCACAGCTTGTACCAAAGACACGGGTCTGTATTTTGAATCCGCTTTTGCTTCGACGAGAGAAGATTAATCCTGTCGGAACCGCCTCGCCGGGCCCCAGATTCTAGCGAAATTTTTCAACGTGCGGGCGTGAGGAAAATTGGCATTGAAACGGAATTAACTTGTACTTTAAAACCGCAGGATGAGGACGACGCAGTGGAAGACGTGGCGTACAATCCGGTCAGGACGTTTAACCACGACGCCAGGCCCCACACGATCGCCTGGAGTCCAGAGACCTCCCTGAGCATCGTCCCCAAGATCCTGACGTTCTGCGTCGCCGGGTCGGATTTCAAGATAAGATTGTACAACAGCAATCTGAACGACGTTGACAAGTACGAGGTAGGTGGACAAGAGTACGCCGAGTCTTGCAAAATGTTTGACGCCGTGTTTTAAAGATTTTAGACGACCACAAGGATTACATAAACGCCATCTCCTACGAACTGGAGGGTGAGCTGCTAGCGTCGGTCTCCGACGATCATACGTGCAAGCTGTGGGCGGTCAAGGAGAGCCAAAAGTGCGTGTCCACATTTTACTTGACGTCACCTGGTATGAGCGTGTGCTGGCACGGCGAGGAGTCCGGCAAGCTGCTAGTAGCGGAGAAGAACGGCTTGATACGCATGTACAACGTCAGGAGCCAACAAGCGATCATGTCCCTCGACTCCGGGGCCGTTCCGCTGACCGCGGCCGACTGGGGGCCCAATCCCCTGAAAGTCGTGTCGATGGCCGCGGGAGAATTGCTGCTCTGGGACGTCTCCAGACCGAGGTGGCAGGAAATTTAACTCTAAATCCTCCTACGTCGTCCCTTCATTCGATTTACTCTGTTTATTCTCAATTCTAGCCGTCCCCTTGACGAGCGAATGCTTCACACGGAAGGCGGTCTGACGGTAAGAGTGTCACACGCGAATGAAAACCTGGTATCGAGCATCGGATGGCCGGACAACTTGCTGAAGGTCGTCAATTTGAGATCGAAAGTAGTGGTACTGTGTGGAAAGGTGAAATTAATCGGCGGTATGACGTGGCACTATAAGTTGCCCTACGTTTGTGCTGCAAGTGATAGAGAGCTATGTTTCTGGAGAATAAATATAAATTAGGATACACCGAGCACAATCATGTGGGGAAATTCCCCTATTTTTCTCTCTCAACTTTCCGGAACTTCGGATATTACATAGCGAATTCAATTGCTTGCACTAGTGCGTACTGAGGCCTGCTTGTAGTCAATGATTACATTTAACGTTGTATTTAGTCAAGTAATGATCCGTATGGATGCTGTACAGATCCTTTTACTGGCTAAAGCGAGGGAGCACACTTTTGTACAAGTGCATTAAGAAATTGTTTGGTCCATGAGCAAATGCACAAGGAATTGGACAATCAAATTCTTTACGCATAAGTTTATGCCAAGGTATGTGCTCCCCGCTTAAATATTTATAAGAGATATTTAAAACGATCCTCAAATATAAGAATCGACTGTAAACAAGCCTTAGTGTGCGCTCAGTGCGTACTATTGCAAGCAACCGAATTCACTATTAAATAATAAAAACGTAAGAAATATCAACAAGACATCAGTAATGCATCGAGATAAAATTTTGATCCAAGCGTATTCTCTTGCGAATATGCGGTAAATTAAATATTCTTGTATGCGTACACACACACACACGCACACGCACACACATATACATATGTATATAAATCTTTTGGAGACAAATTTTCACACTTGCGTAGAAAAAAAACTGTATTTTTATAATGTACCTTATAAGATTTACACGGACAACATATAAAAGTAATTTATATAATGCATAGCCTATCATTTATAATGAAAGATCCTAGTATTTTGCTATTCTTCATACTTTGTCTCTCACAAACTTTTTAACTCTCAATTATTGAGATATAAGTTTTCCAATGGCAACTCTTGTTCCGCAAATTTATTTACGTGTTGAATTACTTTCTCTAAAAATTGTAAAAGCTGGAATTTGTTATTGTCATCTTTCAATTCGCCAGCAATCAGACATGCTTTGCGGAAAACCATGTTGGGATCCGGTATGGAAACTCGTTCTTCATTGAATTTATTTATATCGAGTTTTAGTTTTTCCACGTCTTCCTTGACATCCCTATAATCATCGCTATTTTCGACCATCTTGTCTTTCGTTTCCACTGCAAAATATGTATTTAAAATTAATATTGTATGTATAAGATCAGTATAATAAGTATAATATTGTATAATGATTATTAAATTGGTCTGTCAGTGCTGTATATAATCGTATCGTCAAATACAACAAGAGTTTAATAGACGAGAAGAACCAACCTGCAAGAGCCATAAGTTTGTCCTCCAGTTTATTATGTTCAACAATGTTGTTCTGATAACATAAATTTGTTTCGTTTATGGTGTCGTCTAGCAAATCTAATATCAATTGTACAAACTGCGTTTCTTCTTCGATCGTTAGCTTTTTCAAATGTAACCATAGCACATTCATGAGACCGATACATAAGTAAGCGCGCAAACTCTGCGACACAGGACAATCGCTTCTTGCATAAATGCTGTCTTCGTCCGTTGGTTTCTTGGTATCCAACGTCGTGAGAAGATGCGTGAAGAATCCATCTTGTTTCGTTAATCCGTGCTTCGACGCTGTACGTTCAAATTCGTCCACACTGCCTAGTGCCCGTGTCAAGTGCTTCAATCGAGTTTCTTCTGCATCGCACGTGGCCGCCATGGCAATTTGATAACTAATATTTACCTGCATCTGAAGAAGTGTAAAGATGTTACTATACGCGTAAAATATTGAGTACTGTTATTAAATATTGTCTACGAAAAAGAGCACGTAGCGACTGCTTTTTATTTTTCTCTTTTGTATCTTACCACTTTGTCGAACGTTAGACTTTTCAGAACGATGTTGGTGTCATCTTTCTTGCGCAAGGCACCATAGTTAGAAATACCATACTTTTCCCCAAGAGCTTGTAACGTACCACTGCCTTCTTTTCCTTCCAACCATGTTTTCATCATGTCAAGCTCAGTCTGATCTGAGAATGTGCTCACGATCATCTCGTAAGCGTCTATATGCACGTGTAGATACTGCACACAAAATTTTTTGTTGCGTACGGATATAAAAATGTACATAGAGGAAGTCCCCTATTATAAGAGATGCTCCTAATACGAGACAGCGGGGCTCTTGTTAAATTAATAATCGGCATCATCTGTTGGTTTTACCGTAAATTAATTGCCCTTGGAGTGAAATCTGTTCATTAGAAAATGCATTGTTAGGTCGCGCGTGTAATTGTTACGTAAAAAAATTTATAAAATTGAATGTGTGTGCGTGCGCGCGCGCGTGGGGAAAACTTGCTATCTCATATTAGGAGCCTATTTCATAATAGAGGACTTTCCTCTACATATTGCGTGTGTATATAACATGCGTATACAAAGCTGCACCTGGACTTGACGGATGTTCGCGATAAGGGAACGTGCTTTCGACCAGTTTGACTTTACGAGAGCACGCGTCACCGCATCCACAACCAAGGAAGTACCGTAGCCCTCGTCACCGTTTAGAAACGCCAATTCTGACGCTACCTCTAAACAGTGTATGTCCTTTCGTCGAGAAAGGATCTTTGCAGCCATATCCAAGTGCCCTAATCTCACGTGACTGATACGTGTACGAATAATATCAAAAGTTAATTTAATATAGAAAACTTAAAAGTTAATTGAACAGAAACTTGTAACTATTGATTGTTTGTTATCTGTGTTGATATTTGAGTGCCAATGTTGTGCAAAATAATATTCTTTGTATTATGTAAAGTGCAAAATACATTTTTTTTATTATGTGATTATACGACGTCTATGACAATTAATAAAAAAGTTAATTAGAAAATAAACTTACCAATGAGCTGCCTGCTCCAGATTGCCTTTATAAGTGGCCCATTCCGCCCACGATTCTAATATTTTATCTAAAAACGGATCATCAGCATCCAATCTACATCTCGCGAGTGCATAAGCCTCTTTAAACATCTTAGCATTAAAAAATACTTCTATGGCTTCGTAAATTTTGTGTACAGCTAGTAAATATGATACCGCTTTTTCTGGATGCTTTTGCATTACTAATTGATGCGCATACGCCTCGCACATTTCTTTCCACGTTCTGCAAGATTAGGCTCGATTATGCAACCAATATTCAGAAATTTTGTTTTATATTTGTAAAAACGTTCATACGTACTTGACAGAAACGCTAGGCGCAAGCGACACTAAAAAGTCATTTAATTGACCATTGTTCGCTGCAGAAATTAGATCGTTTTTCAAATCATCACACCACATGTTCATCTCGGTAACGACATCCAAATTGTCCTGTGCCAACTCTGAGAATGACATAATAAATGATTAATAATACGATTAGAGAATAGATCATTAGAGGAATGTCCTCTATTATGAGATAGTATTCTAATGTGAGATAGTAGGTTTTTAACGTTCAAATTCAATCGCAAATCTTTTTTCGCAAAAATTACACGATCTAACGATCAACTTTCCAATAAGCAGATTTCACTTCAATGGCAATAAATTCATGGTGGACCCAACAGATGATGCCTATTAATTGAACAGAAACTGCGCTATTTCATATTAGGGGCCTACGTCATAATAGAGGACTTTCCTCCACTTATACACCAATGTAAAATGTTACATAAAGTTACTTACTTTCATTAGAAAAAAAAGTTACAAAATCCTCTTTCTTCTCAGAAAATATTGATAAAGCGTCACCTTCGTCGACTTGGTTACTTTTTATATCGTACTTGATGAAATTAAGGATTTGAGACCTATCGGTCACTTTGCTACTAAAATATTTTTTCTCCTTCTTCTTTAGCGACCCCGATTCAAGTTCTGTAATTGAAAGTCCCGATTATTATCGATGTCAACCACGTGTATCGTGTCGCGTGTATAAAAAAATTATTTATTTACTTGCGGTAGTTACTTGAGCAGATTGATTCGTTGGTGCAATCGAATTACTCTCCTTATCATCCGTTTTACTTTTCGCCGATTTTTTCTGTAGTTTATGTTTCTTCTTCATGGCCTTAATATCGGAAGCTTGCTTCGGCGATTGCGCTGGTAAAGTATAATTCCATATGTGTAGCGTGAAGTCCGACGAACCGGTCATTATCATCTGTGGTTTCAGAGGACTCCACATACAGCACAGCACAGGTCCGTCGTGACCCATGTATGTGCCCATCAGCTCCTGTTTTTCAACGTTCCACACCTAGAAAATGATATTTGAAAAAATTACATACGACATACAAAAATATCAATTCTAAAAATATTTAAATATGTTTGCAACATAATATAACAGACACAACGCTATACGATAATAAATAATAAATATTAAATAAAAGTTTTAGCCGAGGTAACGCATAGCTCTGTATAAGAGCAATCGACTTGTTGGCCAGTCCGGGACTCAATACCTTGTTAAGCCTTGTGTCCGACGATCCAAGAACTGTGTCCAAGTTCTAGTTCTATGAAATGCATAGCCAATCAACTTGTAGCTTTTCCGTAAAAGATACAGGTTGACTGGTTACACATTTCTTGAAACTAGAACCTGGACACAATTCTTGAATCGTAGACACAAGGTTTTATATGCCTCGGTTTTGTAAAAGATTAATTGGAGAGTTTAAAGTTACGAGACGAACGGTAATCCGTTTAACGGAAACACACTTCATACTACAATCTTGATAAATAGAAACGGACGAGTTGTGAAGCATCATATAATCTTAATTGCCTGAAAAATACTGTGTAATCCATGTATATTTGACCTGTGCGGTATTGTCGTAGCTACCAGACACCAAGTGCCCACTGAAATGCGGGCTCCAAGCTAAGCACACCACTTTGTCGACGTGCCCGTTTAGCGTCGCCACCATCTTGTGCATCGTGCGTTCTTCAATATCATCCCCGTTCTCTATAACATCCGCAGTACCTGTCGTTTCTAATTCCCTTATCAGCTTCGACATGTCGAAAATCATTATGTTACACGAATCAAAGGCAGCTGCCAAGTAGTTGGCGTTCGGCGATATCGATTTATCTGCCATTGTACTCTCAGGATGCCACGTCAAGCAATTTACCATGGTCCTTACAAAATGTATCGAGTTGCCGCGTTTTCTCAGCTTCTGATCGTAGAATATTATTGACCTGAGAGAACAAAATTCGTTTAAAGCATTTCTTTAGCAATTTGTTTAAGAAAGTACGTTTTATATATGTATATATCTATATACCCATTTGCTAATGCAATTGCCAAGCATAAGTTGGATTTCCAAGAAAATTCCAAACATCCTTTCTTTATTATAGACATAGGTTCTGAAATGGAATTGCAATAATAAAACGATGCGTAAAACAATAAGTAAAACGATAAGAGAAAAGTCCTCTATTATGAGATAGGATTCTAATACGAGATAACATGTTTTCAACGTCGAAATTCAATCGTAAATCTTTTTTTCACTACGATTACACGATCCAACAATCAATTTCCCACTAAACAGATTTCGCACCAAGGGCAATAAATTCATGGTGTAACCAACAGATGACCTATCAATTCAGCAGAAACTCCACTATCTCATGTTAGGAGCCGATCTTATAATAGAGGTCTGCCCTCTATTAATATCTTACCAGCACTCGGCTCGGACTTTTGGTACGCTATTAATTCTCCTTCTGCACAGGAGAACAGATAGTACTCTGACTCAAGTTGAGCCCATTCAAGCTTGTAAATGGTATTTCTGTGATATTGCCTGTACAATATAGGTGGCTTGTTAGTTCCAATTGCATCAAATACACCGACACGACCCTCTCCAGTGCCGAAAGCAACAGTAGATTCATCCTCCGGGAACCACGATACAACTCGTATTTTTCCTTTTATCTTCTGCCAGTGCATAACAATGTCAAAAGTTGTCGCGTGAGGCTCGGACAAGTTCCACAGCCGCAGCATCGCGTCTCCTGCGCCGAACGCAACGCGCGAGGTATCGATAGGACAAGCGTTCATGCAGTAGACGTATCCTCCTTGCGTAGGAATCTTATACTCTAGAATCGCCGATTTCGTGGGGTCGCTGTCACGTTTGCAACATATAACCCACCGGTCCTGTGCCGAAGACCAGACCCTGAGTCTAAAAAATAATATTAATGTTGAAAACTTTCGATACTCACATATTCATAATTTATGTCAAGCGTTCACTCACTCGGAGTCTGTCCTCGGATCGTCAGATACTGCGTCGTATTTGGGAACGGCAGCTATGGTGAACAATCCCCTATTGTGGAGCGTATGAAACAATTTGTGCTTAAGCTTGTCTTTGTTCGGCGAAAGATCCCAAGAAAGGAGCTCGCCCCAAAGAGAGCTGGTCAGAAGCAGATTGGGCTCCACCCAACATACCGTGATCCAGGTTCCATTCGTGCAGTTGAGCTTGCTTTTGTACGTCAGAGGCGAGATTGGCATAGTTGGCGCGTTTAATACAGTCTCGTATCTACCATCTCTACCAGCTCTCCAAATGAATACAGATCTGAATACAAAAAGATTAATATAAGTAGCAATTTCTTCACAAGTTACCTGCTTCTTACTTTTCTTAGTACAGTATATATTCGCATATACAATTAATTTAGTATACAGGATGTGTACACACATACATGTATGTACTAGAAATTGTAGTTTAAGTATTAAACAAAACTTTTATTAAACAAAAAGATCTCAAAGGCTAAAAAATTATTTGACGTAGCTGGGAAAAATGTTTCTTCATTAAAAACGCAACGTTGCGACCGTGAATTCCGGTCCTTTTCAAGTGTAGGGCAATCACATAACAATTCTAAGCTCTGACATTGTGCCAGCAATACGGTCGAGATGTTGTGTTTTTAATAAAGAAATATTTTTGCCAGTTACGTCGAACGATTTCTTAACCTTTGTCGTTCTGTTCACTGGCGAAGAAAAGATTTTCAACTTCATATACAAGTCATAACTTGTATCTCAAGTCCAAAAATTTCTTTAAGCCGCCGTGTAAACGTGGTCAAAGAGGAAGCCCCGTCTCACCTATTTTTACCGCCGGAAGCTAGAAGTAAATCTCTCTTATTCTCCCCACTTAAAACATTCATGTCTGAAGGGCACCAGGATAAACTAACTACCTCCTCGTTATGTCCCCTCATTTTATATAATATCGTGTCTCTTTCAACAATGTAGACCAATCCACTCTTAGTGCCTATCGCTACGAGACTAGACTCGTGAGGACAGCAAGCTAAACACGTGGCAGTCATCTTGCCCATCCTGCTCAGAGGTACTATCTTCGCGGTCTTATACTGTATATTACAGTACATTAGAAAACCATCCGAATTCACTGCGCACGCAAGATTATTGTCCTTGGCTGACCAGTCAACCCCGACAATCAATTGGCTTCCCTGAAACAATAAAAACATTGATACGAGTTGCACAAATGATTGAAAGATAGAGGAAAGTCTATTATGAGATAAGCTCCTAATATGGCACAGCGGAATTTCTGCTGAACTCTTGATTCCACCATGAATTTATTACCCTTGGAGTGAAATCTGTTTAGCGGATGATTGATTGTTGGATCGTGTAATCGTTGCAAAAAAAAAGATTTGCGATTGAGTTTGGACGTTGAAAACCTACTGTCTCACATTAAAATCTTATCTCATAATAGAGGACTTTGCTCTTTGTTCTGCGATAATTTTAACGTTGTATACGTGAGCGCCTTCTATTCACGTCCTGCCAACTTACTTCGGCGAAAGGAAAGTCCGCTATCAACTCTAAGGTATCCACATTCCAAACCCTGGCTCTGGTGTCGTCGCCGCCGCAGATCAACAACTCCGGGCCGTCCGGGTTATCGATATTGGGACAAAACGCCAACGCGGTCACCTTGTCTTTAAAGTAGTCCTTGATTATGGAGTACTGCATGGCGTTGTCCCCCTTCGGCCTGGCGATAACGACGAAGTTTCGCGCGCCCCACGCCACGGTTCCGCGTCTCGAGCAGGCGAGGACATTGCTGAGATACCAGTTCGGCGAGGGAGGCAGCGTCACTTCATTCATCCTGTCGCGTTGTATTCCCTGTCAACGAAGGAGAGGCAGCGCTTTAAGATCCTTCCAGATGGCCAGACCCGTCGCAAGTGGGAACGGGACGTCAGCGGAAATGTAATAGAATCCGTTAACGGAATACGACAGCAGATTGGCTGCAGGAGTCGAGCGCAGTCTCAGGCCCTTTCCCAGAGTCTTTAAACGACACGTCTCGACTGAGCGGTTGCTAAATTGCCTGGTTTCCGCTGGCAAGTTGCTCTCAGACTGCGTCAGCCGGCCCTGCTGGCCAATCTGCCGGTGAATTACCCCAGTTAACGTTTTGCTTATTAGACACTGGCGTACGTTGTTCGTTGTGGAACATAAAAAATCTACAAGTAAAATATGATCTTTATTGCACCAATCTATGCACAAGTTCTACTGTATTCTCATCTTGTACTTTCGACGATCTCATTGTACTCTTACTGAGGAAGACCCGACGAAGGGTCGAAACGTTTACGTCGAAGAGAAATTCTGTTTCTGCATCGCGAGAATCGAGTTCCGTTCATTTTGCGGCTCACATTGGCGCTTCTCCTTTCGACATATTTTTTTAAGTATGTCGAATCTAAACATCCGAAAGGTGCAAATCTCGTGGCGCTTTTCTGAAAGTCGCTTCTAAAACGCCATGTGGACCATGTGGAGCTCTGTTTTCTCGCCGGTCAATTGGAGGTTAACCGGTGCCCGGCGCCTTCGACCGTGGAGCGCGGACGCGAGTCGCGTGGACGCCCGTCGGCAGCGATAAAACAGAATCGAAGGCAATGTGAACTTTAATAAATACCTTGCTTGCGAATTACAGTCCTGCGGTGAGTCACGATCTGCGTCGAATCTCGCTACTTACCTCGCGGGGACGCGCGCGACAAATGAGAACCTCGACCGCCTCGACACGCTACCCGTGACGGTTATGTTATTGAAAGTGCGGGAGCAGAGAGGCACCGATACCTGTATCCTTGACACAACACTTTTTCCTTCTCGCCAAAACACCGTGTGTTTATACCGTGTGCGAGCTGTGACACTTGGCAGAGGTCGAGACGACGATTTTGTTAAAAACGACGAAGCGCAAACACGCGCGACATACAAATCGAAAGCTGCAAAAAAAGTTCAAAGTGAAGGTAACGTGAGATTCGATCGCGCGTAAACATATAAACGCGCGCTTACTAGGCGCGAGACACTACCGTATCTCGTGATAATTTGTTGTACGACAAATGTAATATTAGCCTAAGAATAATTAACGCACCTGAACACGATTTCCGTTTCTTTTTATTAATCCAACGTATCGCTCTTTCTCAATAAACATTTCAATCTTAATATTGAAAGAATAGCGAGCAATTAAGTTTTGCGCCGTTATTCTGTTAAATGACGCCGATGGATAAATTAATCTGAAATTAAAATCGAGGTGTAAAAGGATAAAGCTAAGAACACAACGAAATACGAGAAAAAAACGTGTTGCAAATTCACTTTCAATTAAGCGTTCGTAGTTGCAAACAATTGACCGTTTTACGAAGGAAAAAAATTAAAACGCAATTTTGAAATGTAATGTATACATATTTGAATCACTTCGATTCTCGCAATTGATTCGCGGCCAACTTCATAGAACGCAGATAGCAGACGCTTTCGCGAGAAGATCAAAACGATCCAGATTAAAATGACCCTGTGCTATGATTGGTCAAATCTGAAATTTCACAGCATCACACTGAAATTTTATTCAATGAAATTCCAGATTTGACCAATCATAGCACAGGGTCATTTTAATCTGGATCGTTTTGATCTTCTCGCGAAAGCAGCCCTGAGTACGTAATAAGTCCGTATCGGGCTACGGATTGAGATTGCGATTAGATTGAAATTTGACCAATTGGAGTAAAAGTTTCTAAACTTGAGATTAGAGTAAACTTTAAGCCCGTATCGGACTACGGATTGAGATTGAGATTAGATTGAAATTTGACCAATTGGAGTAAACGTTACTAAACTTGAGATTAGTAAACTTTAAGCCCGTATCGGACTACGGGTTGAGATTGAGATTAGATTGAAATTTGACCAATTGGAGTAAAAGTTACTAAACTTGAGATTAGTAAACTTTACTGTGATTGGTCAAATGCAGTCTAATCCCATGGCCGTATTGGATCCACGTTGGAGCCACGAGCCATCAATTCAATAATAACAATCAGTCTTAAGCCCGTATCAGACTACGGATTGGGATTGGGATTAGATTGAAATTTAACCAATCACAGTAAAGTTTACTAATCTCAAGTTCAGTAACTTTTACTCCAGTTGGTCAAATTTCAATCCAATCTCAATCTCAATCCGTAGTCTGATACGGGCTTAAAGCCTTGTGTCCACGATCCAAGAACTGTGTCCAAGTTCTAGTTCCAAGAAATGTGTAGCCAATCAACCTGCATCTTTTGCAGAAAAGCTGCAAGCTGATTGGCTATACATTTCTTGGAACCAGAACATGAACACAGTTCTTGGATCGTGGACACTATATAGGCTTAACTCCAATCTCAATCCGTAGTCTGATACGGGCTATACGGAACGGATTGCGATTAAAATGTTTTAGTTATAACTCTTATAGATTTCTGTCCAGCATGCCTCCTGATGACTAATGTGCCTCTAATGTTTTCTACTCCTTCGCCCTCTCCCCCCTCTCTCATTTCCGATTGATAAACAATTCGTCAGAGTTCTTTGGAACGCGACGCGAAGAAAAGACGACAGCTCGGTTGTGCGTGATTCATACTCCGCGTTTAGTTCTTTCGTCGCTTCGCTGCATCCCGACGCCTCCTCGGGGAACACGAGGTGCGAGCGATTTCACTCTCTCGCTCAAATCCGATACGATGCGGCAGATCGGGATCGTGTTCCTCCTGCTCTGCTGCGGCCTCGCCGCGGCCGTGACATTTGACATGTCACGAGACTTGTCGCTGAACGCGCTCATGAAGGCGATGTGGGTCGGACAGCGCCGAGAACAGCCGGGCAGCGCGAAATTCGATCCCGACGTCAACCTTGACACGGTAAAAATGAACACGTTTCTTTCTATATTCCAATATGCTTTTCCATCTGACTCGATTTGCAAAATAACGAAATGAACTACCGTAATAACGTAAAATTAATAAATTTGTCTCTTTCACAATGAGTTTGACCACATATTCTTACAACGGTGTCCTTTAACATTGTTATTTTCACAATATATTTTAATGCAATCCTGTATTTAAGAGCATTTCAATTCCCGGTAAAAAAACTTTTCATGCATGAACGTGAATAAATATATAGAATTATATAAAAATGTGTGCGTAAAAAAGATATGTCCATATTTTTACATCGCATATTTCTTTGTAATTTAATACAATTCCACACAGTTCTGTGTAATTTTATAGATTAATACGTGCTTTCGTGTATGAAAATGCTCCATGCGTGAAACATTTTTTATCCGGTAATTCTTTTATGGCGCGCGCAAAAAGGAAGGTACCGAGAAATGTTTAATTTCTCGAAGTTTTCTTTTAGGATGTAATTTCTGCGAAACTTTACGTTTTGCAGTGCATTATAAAGAGCCTATGAAAATTTATCCTCCAGTATCAGGAAGCGATCTTACTATATTATATAATTTATTAACTTCAGCTTACAGCCAAGAATTGGATACAGTATGTTCTTAATTCATTCATTCTTGCATACTTATTTCCTCCCTATTTTCATCCTTACATGTTGTGACTAGTATTTCTAATTGCTTTATTTACTTACTTAGTTCACTTGCATTTGAAACCTAAATTTAACAATTTTCCATGTTAAATTTTTAGCCTATTTGTACTTGCACTTGTATGGATCTTATATTCCTTATTTATACTTTATTAGTCTTATATTGATCTTATATTATTTACACATTCCTCAGGAAGTGATCTTATTACGATTACATGTTTAATTAGATATATATGTAATCAGAGCCGGATTTACCATTTTCTGGCCCTTACGATTTTTCAGAGGCTCCCTTATATGTTTCCTCGGCCAGCAATTAAACGACCGTAATTGTGTTTTTACTTCTTTCAGCTGCAGATGATAAAAAAAGCGGGCTATCCGGCGGAGGCTCACATAGTACAGACGGAAGATGGGTATCTCTTAACCCTTCATCGTATCCCAGGTGATAAGGGTCAACCGCCTGTGCTGTTGCAGCATGGTTTCTTGTGCAGTTCCGCCGACTGGGTCATCCCTGGCAAGGATAAAGGACTTGGTACTACCTTAATCAATGACGAAAAATCGATCATGCTTCTGTCGAAAAAAAATGCCGAGATAAACTCTTGAATGGAAAACACGTGCCGAGAACATTTCCAGGGCCAATTTTAACGCCTCTTAATCTCTATTACATAATTGATATTTCGCAAGCAAATAATCTGAGTTTTCACTTTACTTAAAATTGAATAAATGTAGAGGAGATTTTAGATGCGTATGTACACAAAATAATCTACAATATGTATATTTAAATAATTGCTGGAAACAATATTTTCTTTCCTACGCTAGCTTTCGTGCTGGCCGATCAAGGATACGATGTCTGGTTGGGCAATTTTCGTGGAAACACCTATTCGAGGGCGCACGTTTCTCTATCCCCATCAGATTCAGCATTTTGGAATTTCAGGTGCTCGCACTGATAAAGTGAACATTACAGCGTTAAAAGGACATAATTGTGACACAAATTCGAAGGAATAAGGACTAACAAACCGTGACAGGATGATATATGTATCTAAATAATTGTTTTAAATTTATTGCGAAAATATACTAGGCGGGCGTATTGCCAATTCGCTTAATGAGTAGAGAGGTCCAAGTTCAAAGATGAATATTTTATAAGATGATATATTTTCGTAGTAAATTTAAAATAAGAATTATTTGAACCTGGACCTCCTTACTTACTACCCAGTGAGAAATGATTCGTCGATCGACGTCGAAACGACAAGCTTGGAAAAGCGATGGAAAAGCTTCGTGGAAACTATGTTCTTTTTCATGCTAGCTTTGTGGATTATATTATGTCTTTTAAAGCGGTAATAGAAAATTATGATATTTTGTCATACATTCCGATGATACATTGAATTTTTCGTCAGCTTTCACGAAATGGGCATCTACGATCTACCCGCGATGATCTGGCATATTACGAATACAACGTTGCAACCATTGTACACGTACATCGGTCATTCAATGGGCACAACTGCTTCCTATGTGATGGCAGTGGAACGTCCGGAAATCGTCGGAATGGTGCGACTGATAATCAGCCTTGCACCTATAGCTTTTTTGGAACATATGAAAAGTCCAATACGATTATTCGCTCCTTTCGCGAACGACTATGAGGTAATGTGCCCGAATATATTGTTAGAAAGTAATTAAGTTATTATATATAAACGATATAACAGTTTCAAACGATATTTAATTAGAGAGTTTTTGCAATACCGTCTCTTCAGATACGGTAAACGCTAAACTGACGTTAACAAGCTGTTACTTGGGAGACGGGAGTTCGTCCCATGCACCCCTGTGAAGTTAGCCCCCCATTATTTAAAATTTTAACTTTTTTTAGTTCCTTATAGATTTACAAGAGTTCCAGAGTTCTTGATGGGTTTAAGAAATAGTTCTGCCCATTAAAGACGTTAAAATGAATTAAAATGAATGAATCTGCGGGGGCTACCGGGAACTCTCAACAGAACTGCCGGAACTGTTCAAAAATTTTTTCGAGTCTTATAAGACAGAAACTAACACCTAAAATTGCCCATAACTTTTTCCCCTTTAATCACACAGACTTTTGCCATTAGGATTTTCGATATAAGACCCGAAAAAATTTTTGAACAGTTCCGGCAGTTCTGTTGAGAGTTCCCGGTGGCCCCCGTAGAGTTCTATCGAAAATCCTAATTGCAAAATTCCATTACATTAATACTTTTATAGTTATGCCTATTTCTGGGGTACTGTTTCTTGATTCTTCAACTTCGTTTTTTTTACTTTCTCGTGCAGAACTGTTGTTAAAATGTATCAAGAACTCTAGAACTATGCGAAATCTATCCAAAACTCCATTAAAAAATTAGTTTTTACGAAAATGGGGGGCTGCGTAAAGTTAGCCTCCCATTTTTAAAAAATTCATTTTAACGTCTTTAATGGACAGAACTATTTCTTAAACCCATCAAGAACTCTGGAACTATTATAAATTTATAGGGAACTCGTAAAAAAGTTAAATTGTTAAATAATGGGGGGCTAACTTCACAGGGGTGTCCCATGCACCAGGCGGCTCAGCATTGGCGTAACGATAGTTTCCGTGAGAAACTAACTTAAAAAATGGGAAAATTTTGTTTCCTTGTCTCACTTATTGTTAGATACTTGTTTCTACTTCAAAAAACTACTGTCTTTTCCAAGTCTTGATTTTCATTTTAACAAAATATTTTAAAAAGCTAAGATTGAGAAGGTTGCTTGTATAAACTTGTATAAAGTTCGTTAGAACTTAAAGAAAACTTTAAATGCTGTGCTGCTCAAAATCCCCAAACGATCAAGTTACAAGTAAATATATCGCGATAGAGAAATTCGGGAATAATTACAGATAATCGCGCATTTTCTTGGCGAGGACGAATTTCTGCCGCAAAATAGTGTGCTGCGTCTTCTGGCCAAGTACGGCTGCGACGTCGACTACTTTGAGAAGGAGATCTGCGCGAACACGCTATTTCTGATCTGTGGATTCGACAAAGAACAATTTAATTATGTGAGTATTCCGCGAACGTTCTGATCGAAGTGCAACTTCGATCAGCACTTGTCACGTTTTGCACGCGTGGTCACGCTTCACAGATCGGATATCATATCTGCCGTTTTCTAGACTCTGTTACCTGTGATTCTGAGTCACGATCCGGCCGGCACCTCGACTAAAACGTTGGTGCACTTCGCCCAGGAGGTCAAGTCCGGCAAATTTCGCCAGTACGATTACGGGCGCGAGAAAAATCTGCTACTCTACAACGCAACAGAACCGCCGGGCTACAATCTAACGAATATTACCGTGTCGGTTGCGTTATTCTACGCCGACAATGACTGGTTGGCCAACAGCCTGGTAGGTAGCGGGAAAATGTATTTAGATCAAGGAGACACATATTAAGAATTAATTCACGTTGTGAAAATCAAACTTTACATGCAGTCGGACAAGAAGTGTAAGCTAACATGATAAATCGTATTTCTTCAAGGACGTGAAGAGGCTTAACAGTTTGTTACCCAACGTACTGGACGTGTACCGAGTACCGTTACCTAAATTTAATCACCTGGATTTCGTATGGGGTAAGGACGCGGTTAAGCTTGTGTACAAGAGATTGCTTAAGATCATGAAGACTTGAGAGTCACGGCGACCATAAAGATGAGAGATGAATATAGGATACCGGAACAGTAATCTTTTCAATGCGATTGCGATTATAAAAGTTATTTAGGTCGCAGTATTTTCGAGCAGTTTACGTAGGTGAATATAATATACGCATCTAAGTAATTGCTGCTATTTCGGCATAAATCTCGATAGAATTAACACAAGAAGACTAGTAGTTAAGAAATTACAATCTGATCGTCCATTAACACGACTATTAGTCAAATTTTTGTTAAGTATACAATTAACAGGGTAGAGTTTTTTGCTACTTTAATATAGTATTATACGTATGTAATAAATAAGAGTTACTTACAATTATTGCAGGATTTGAAAAAAATTATGCAGAGATATTTCGCGTATCACAAATTTCGATAACTGTTTTATCAAATTAATAAAATCGGTTTCGAATACTGTCAAGATAGGTGGCACTCGGGAATCAACATTAGACTGTTTATTGCGAGGAATATTGCCATGTGCCTCGGTGATCGAATTGGTTGAGACGCCCGCCTAGCGAGAGGGAGGTGATATTGTTTCGCAATAAATTCAGAATAAAATATTTAGACACTAACACCCTGTCACGGCTCTTGATTAAAAAGTGCTGAATTTGTAGAATAGTACAGAAAAAAATGCGTTCACCTAATATTATATTACAATATTCTACAACAACCTGCTAATAATGCTGATATTAATAATATTAATTTTTTTCGAGAAGGTTAAACTTTTATTATTATTATCTGTAATCTCATACTCGAATTTTGTAAAATTTATAATAACTGAATAACGAATTGGAGCATTTTTTTAAAGATATAGACTCAAAGAAACTTTTGAACAATGCTAATGCAAAACATTTGATAAAAATTTGACAAGTTACTTTTGTTAAATTTATATTAAATCAAATATATATTGGTTTTTATATGAAATAGATAATAAAAAATGGCTTATTGCATGGAAGAATCAGTATTGCCAACAATCTGATTTAGGTATTAATGTATGACAATAAATTACCACAAGTTACATTTTTTATGAAGAAAAAAAACAGGTCTTTTTTTCATTAATCAGATATCTTTTCCGCTAAATTAATTCCACTAAACTAATTATAATGCTAGTATTACTAAGCGTTAATATAATAATTGAAGTATTTTATGTATGTATACAGACGACACATAAGTATATCAGCGTGCAAAATATGAAGGACGCAGTTTGTTTCGTAACGTTCATATTATATTTATATGTATACGATACCTCAAGCAATAATAAAATGCTATGCATATAATTCATTCTACCACCTGCAAAACAGAAATAAAATAAACACATTCTTGATATAATTTTTACCGATAGTTAGATTCAGTTACTTTAACTCATGTAATGAATATGCATATTGAAATTATTCTACCATATAACAAGAATTCGACCATATACTTACCATATAACATAAATACATGTTTTAAACCTCCACAAATTATTAGGCCTTGCCTCGGCGCACAAACGCCTCCCTAGTAGCACAATTCATTGGCTACACATTGATTAAACATGTGGTTATGTAAGAAGTGCATTAACCAATATATATTTTCCCAATATAACGCCAATATTGATCATAAAATAAATGCAAATATACTGCTGATGTTGCACCTAGAGGATTATTTAATATTGGATTGATATTGAAATTGTATTGGCCAAGATTAATCAATAAAATTGTAATATTGAATATAGAATAAATACTAATGTAACGCCAATGTTACGTGTCAATATTTGCACGGTATTGTGTTTGCATTTTGAAAGTGCATTGCAAAAATATGAGGCCCTCCACCACCCCCGCCGATTTCGATCGGCGGTCCTCTTTTCTTTACAATGTGATTTTTTACAAGTTCATTATTTATTTCACTTTTCTTATAATTTATTTTACAATGTATACAACCCAGCAAACCAACATATAACTG